GAGAGACAACAGAGAGGAACAGGATGGGGAAAATAAGGCAGGTGACAGTAGAACCAGGTCTCTTGAGTCCCACCTCCATCCCAGGACAGTGCAGGTTTTCTGGGGCATTGTTCAAGCAGCCCGAATCAGATGGGCTGAGCAGTAGAGGCCATCAGAAGATACTTGTGACCCTCAGGTCCAAACAGTGGCATTCTGCCTTTCCCTCTGGCCTCCCTTAGTTAGCCCTTCTCCTGCCCCCCAGTCTGAAGTGCCATTTTCGGGTTTTGTGTTGCAGCCCTAAAGCGCCTGAAAAGTGACCCAGACCCAGCTGTTGCCTGCTTGGCGACCCAGACCATCTACCTCCTGGAGGTCAAGAAGATTCAACCAAGACCTTTCCAGTGTGTAGCTGTTGGTTCAGAAGAAATCAGTTGAAATACTGAGCTAGAGGGCCAGCCACAGTGGCCTCCGCCTCTCTGCCCCTATGCCTTTGCTCAGGCCATGCCCCACGCCTGGAATGCCCTCCTTTTTCACCTCTCATCCCTAACTGCCTTCACAAGTACCCAGGCGGTCTCCCCTGACCATCTGCCTTTCCCATGTTGATGTTGTTCCCTCACTGTCTTCATATTACCTTATGTTTGCTTCTCTGTGTGTGTGTCTGGAGTCAGGAAGGCTTGAGTTAAAATTTGGCCTCAGGCACTTACCAGCTATGTGACCTTGGGCAAGTCACTTAACCTCTGCCTGACTCAGTTTCCTTATCTGTAAAGTGGGGATAAAAACAGCACCTCCCTCACAGGGTTGTTGTAAGGATCAAATGAGGTAATATTTGTAAAGCACTTAGCATAGTGCCTGGCACACAGTAGGCGCTGTATAAGTGTTAGCTTATTGTCAGTGCTTGTTGAAATAAAATGAGGTTTCTGAGCCTTGTACTCATGATGTTAATGCTATTTGATTCCTGTAAAATTTTCATAATAAAGAGAAAAATTGGAGTTGGTTAGACTCAGTTTCCCCTCTTTTTTCATATTTTGTTTATGAGAAATCAAATCTCCATTGGCCCTGTGAGGATGACCTCATTTTGTCCTCTCCTCTGAAGTAAAGTCAGATTCTAGGCTGATTCCCCCAAATGGTTCCTCTACCTGCCCCCATGATCCAAAGTCCAAATGACCAAGCATTAAGTGCCTACTATGTGGAAGGTACTGTGCTAGGTCTGGTTTGCAAAGACAAAAGGGAAACTGTCAGCTGCCCTCAAAAAGCTTACATTCTACTGGGGGGTGAGCATTGAGGCCTACGTAGAAAAGTACACATGGGATAATCTGAGGGAAAGAAGCATGGAGAAGCAGCAGGACCACTGGAGATGGCAGATGAAGCAAGCCTTGCACGAGGCTAAGGACTCCAAGGGGCAGAAGAGAAGGAGGAAGAGCCATCAGGAAGTGGGGAGGTGCTACACAAGGGACAGGCAGTGGGATAGGGAGACTGAGTCTAGGGGAGTGTGTGAGAGAGTAGTGCACAGGAGGTCCGAGGGGGTGGGCTGGAAGTAGGCGTTAGCAAGCAAGAGCACCAGCAAACTGAGTGGTTGGCTTAATAGATTTCAGGGGAAAGGATAAGGAGCTCCATTTTGCATGTGTTGAGTTTGAGATGCCTATGGAACATCCAGCTGAAAATATCCAGCAGGTAGTTTAGTGATACAGTTAAGAGAGAGGCTAGGGCTCGATATGGAGATCTGGGAGCCATATGCATAGAAAGTATAAATTAACTCACAGTTGTTGAAGAGATCACTAAGAGAGGGTTAAGAAGACCAACAGCATAGCCTTGTGGGACACCTGTCATTAAGAGGCAGGATCCATATCCTAGATATCCATATTTAATTATCCATGGATAATTGAGCAAAGGAGACTACAGATGAATGTCCAGCCCTAGACTTCCATCTGAGCTCCAACCCCACAACACCAGATACCTATTGGACATTTAGAACTGGATGTCTACAGGCATCTCAAACTCAATACGTTCAAAACAGAACTCATTATCTTTTCCCCAATCTTCAGAACATCTCTTGTATATGTCCCCCTCTCTCCCACTCATAACAGCCACCACCCTAGCTCAGCCACTTATCACTTGTCATCTGGACTATTACAATAGCCTCCCCACTCCAGTTCATCTTGCTCCCAGCTGCCAAAGTGGTTTTACTAAAATAATAGACTTGATCATGTCACACTGCCCCCCCCACCTCCCCAACCCGATCAATAAACTTGTTAGGATCAAATATAATGTCCTCTGTTATTTAAAGCTTTTCACAACTTGTCCCCTCCCTTTCTTTCCAATCTTCTGACACACTAGCCCTCTATATCCCTCTATACCCCCTATCCATCTACATTGACCTATTTGCTGTTCCTTATATACAACACTCCATCTCTCAGGCTTAGCTTCCTCACCTTCATTTCTTGGATCCTAGTCTTCTTCAAGACTCGCCTGGCCCTGGAACCAATGTTGTGTCCTTGTTGAGTATCTTTTCTATGCCACTGTCGAGTAATCTCCTTTTGTTAAATGTTAAGTGGTCTATGAATGTATCATCACATTCAAATCCCCAAACTCCTTCTGTTAAATGTTCAGTGGTTTGTGAATGTATTATTTCATTAAAATCCCAAATCTGAACCACAGATTTGGTTTGAGTCAGATGTGGCTCACAATAAGCTGACAAGAGGAGATGGGAAGAGTAGATATCAGGTAGAGGGGTTGTCTTTGGGGCGAAGGGACACTTCTTTATTAGACCTGGAGCAGAGGAGAAGTAAAGGGAGAGAATAAAGAGAGAGTAAAGGCTTTAAGGTACAAAATAGAGGGAAGAAAGAAGTCCATGACAGCCTGTCCTTTTTCAGTAAAGTAAGGTCCTCTGTTGAGAGGAAGTAGGGAGAGATTGGTACAGGTTGTTCAAGAAGATAGGTGGTTTGGAACAGCTACTGTGGGTAATGTGGTAGATAGCCAATTAAGGAAGAACAAAAGGGTTGCTATGATGTTAATGTTATTTGATTTCTGCAAAATTTTTGGTTTGAGGGCTTTGGTTGAATACTGAAGGCTCTGTTGATATTAGAGAATGTAAATTAATGTCACGACTAGAACCTATTCAAGTCTCCCTGAGTCCTCTGAACCCAGCACTCCATTCGCTATGACAGGCAGTCTTACTTATGGGGGTCAGAATTGGAAAGGACTTTAGAAATCACCTATTCCAACTCTTTCATCGTATTAATAAAGAAAATAAAGCCCAGAGAATACAGATTTATTTGAATATTAGTTTAGACTGAACAGAATTGGGACAAATCTGAAAGGGAGTGGAAAAAATTTTCATTTCCCATCAATTGCTCAATCAACAACTATTTATTATCTCCTGAATGCACTGGGCACTAGGGATACAAAGACCAAAATAAATAAATAAAATCTTGTTCTCAAGTTTACATTCTATCATGGGAGACAATAGTTTGGCACACCCTGGGCCAAGTTGACTTGGATAACGGAGAGCTGGCATTTATTTCTACCTTGAGCAGTAAAGAGACAATACGGCACCTTCCTGTCTCTGGATGTCTAAAAGAACCTAATGGAAAAGCCAAACAGAGAAGCTAACCTGCTGCTGCTGACTTGGTTGGTTCCTAGCATCTAATCCCAATATTTGTGACCTTTATGGCTTTGCCCATGGAACTGTGCAGAGTTCTGGGAGTTCTTGCTCCATCACTTGATGGAAATAGTGACTATATCCCAAACAGCAGGACTCCCTGTGAGCTAAATGCCCTCTGAATTTGACCTAGATTTTGCCACAGCTGATCGGGACTCCCCATTTGTATCTGCTCCCATATTCTTGAGTCTATCTTTGACTAATTGGTCTTTTGTCAGAAAGACCCTTCTCTTTCCCCAATCCCTTTCCTCTTTTCCCCTCATTGTCTGGTTTGTCTGTCTGTCTGTCTGTCCCTCAGTCTCCGTACTGCCATCTCTGACCATCCTCTGAGCCCAGCAGCTGGTTAATTTGGCCTTGGGCCACGGAATACAGCTGGAGTCATTTGCTTGGGCTTGAAAATAAACTTCAAAAGCAAGATGAAAAACTTCTCTAATCTCTGGCTTGGCAAAGAGATTGTCACCCACTCCCCCCAGTCTCAGCTCTATCCTGTGCTCAGGCTCCCCCATCAGCTGCCGCCAGCTGTCAGGGGTGCGTGCGAGTGGAGAGCGCGGACTGCTTTATGCAACCGGTCCTGGAAGTCACAAGCCTCCTTAGCGTATTTGTCATGCTCTTGGCCCTCCCCAGGCCCAAATGCAAATCAACAATGTAAAAATCTTACTTCTGTATATCTTGGACTATGAAATCTATTTTTCCTTCTTCCTGGGTAAAGTTCCCCAGAAATTGCCCTGAATCTTGTGACTTAAGGGTCCTGCCTTTGTTTGTTATATCTCCAAAGGGTCAGTCTAATCATCAAGAATCAAGGCCTGCAAGTGGGCTGACTTGAAGGTGAGCGGGGCCTCTGACCCCCAAGAGAGCAGGGCAGCAGGAGCTAAGACAGCAATGCTTTTTCTCAATCTCAAGGCAAGGTTTTGAAACAAAATTTATTTTCCCACAAACTTGAGTTGGTCGTGCAGTTTGAGGAGGTCCTAAGGACCAAATAATAAGGTATGCAGGGGTACTTTGTGAATTGATATGCCACCGAAAAGTTTCTACCAAGCCAATGAAAATGTTACTCAAATCTAATTGTATTTTAAATGTATGTGGGAGTGGAGGCAGGTAATAGGCTACTTAAAGGAGTCTTGAAGTGAACTCTTTTCCAAAGCAAATAACTTTCCTCTTAAATTTTCTGCGTTTGATTGGGTTTCACAAACTGTGCATGATACCTTAAATAAGACTTTTGCGAATAAAGTTTTTTTTTTAAGTTAACCTGGTTGTGGAAATGTTACTCCCCAAGCAACTTCATTTTTAGCAGTGCCATGGGGCATCTGATCCTGTGTGCTGGGGCCACAAACGAAAGGGGAAACATCACCCACCCACAGCAGCGATGTCCACAAACAATGGCCATTTTGGCTTTATTTACGAAGACCTCCTGGGAACCAACACATCTAGGTTGAAAACAAAAATGTACAGCGTGAGGTTTAAATAGCTTTCTTACACTATGTACAGTGGTCCGCAAAGGTACAAAACATATATACACCTTGTGCTATACACGTCACAGAGAGGAGCAAGGGCAGACTCTGGAGCCTCAGAGAAGTTGGCCTCTAGAAATTAGCCGGTGGCCAGGTCAAGGCAGGTGTCTCCTCTGCACACACTCCTGCTCCTTTGAGGCTGGCGGACTTTGTGATCTCAGTAACTCAAGCAATGGTGGAAAGGGGAGCAGGGTCCCAGTTGAGGGTCTGTGCCCTCAGCTGTGCACTGGGGAGAGGGATGAGTGGTGATGCTGGAGTGGGGGAAGAGGTGGAGGTTGAAGTAGCCAGTGATGGTTGCTCAACTGCTGGGCCCTGTCCCCACAAACCTCTTCCCCTCATGGACTTCCAGGCTCAATTAGAGCCAGGGAACCAGAGGAATAGAATGTCAGTCTTTAGGGAATGGCATCTGGCCAGGAGGGAAACCAAGGGAGAAGAGAGGTCCTGGTAGTTCAGTGAAGATGGAGATCAGCCTGGCAAAGGATCCAGACCAGCTGGGTGAGGGGGTGGCACACTGGCGCTAGAGGCATGGTAAAAGGCCAGCAGCTGCACAGTGGGAATTCCTGCACTGAGGGCAGTCAACCCAAACACCCCAGGAAGCCAACCTGGCAGAGATGGGACCTGCCCATCCAGGTGTAGGGAGAGGGCAGGCTTCCAGGGGACAAGGAAGGGCAGCAGAGGGGCCTGACTTCATAAATTCCTATGAGATTCATAAAATTCTACCCATTGGTATAGGTTTTCATAGATGCTTACCCACTATCAACTTTGTTTTGCAAATGGTGGGGGATTACAAGAGTGTATGGAAGAGATGGCCTCTAAGGTCGCTCCCTTCCTGGTCTCACATTCCAAATCTCACCTTCTCAGGACTGAGCTGCCACTAACTTAGAGAGCAAATATTGTAAAGGACAATAATACTGTGCTTGAGAATCTGGGCCCTAGCTAAGAGCCCTAACCCAGGAGACTTGATAGGCCCTTAAATCAGTTTAGGCTGTTCGGAGACAGGAGAAAGGTCTGTGAGGCCAGAGTCTAGGGACAGTTATGGGCTTAGAGCCCTTTAATCTCTAAGCTTTGGGGGAATGATGAGGACGTGTGTCTCTTATGTCCTCATGCCCCAGGCTTATCAGGATAGCACATACTGGCACGGCCTGTCTTTCAGTCCTTTCTATAACTACCCTTGATTAATGCCCAAAGGAATAGGGCTCCTTCATTCTGGGGCACAGTGGGCAGTGACAGCCTGAAAGGGCCCGGCAGGATAGCAGGACTTCCTTCCCCACGGTATGGCCCCTGGGGTTGGTCTAAGGGAAGGAAGCCAAGGCAAGTTTGGGAATTCTCTTGTCTGGATCAGGACACACTGGCCAACATGAGTCCTCTTTGGACTGAGGGCAAAAAAAAAAGGATGGGGACCCAGAGGTAGGTCTGGGGGCCTGGCCATCCTGTGCTCCAAAGCTGGGTCTAAGCTTCCTCAGTCTAGGGCTTGTGCTCAGGCTCTATGGTCCTTGTGCTCAGAATACAATCATTTTTGTGCTTATAACACTTAAAATACTGGTAAATGCTTGTGCGGTTGCAGTCCGTTCCCCACCATTCTCTGGCTCAGACCTAAAGCCTGTGCCTCCCAACTCCTCTTCAAGAAAGTGCTGAGAGACCCAGCTTTCTTCAAGTTCAGCTGCCCAACAACTTAGGGATGGAATGACCCTGTCAGGGCCTCAGGATTTCAAGTTTCTGGAAAGCCAGCACACTCACATACAGCAAAGCCCAGGCCCAGCCATGAGGTAGCTTACCCAACATCAACAACAAAGCAATCAGACAACACCCACAACACAGGGGAACCGTGGGATCAGACCTGGAGTGGGAGACAAATAAAAACTCACAGTTCAGTCCCCATTACTGCAGGCCGGCTCCCCTTGACCTGGTGGGACCCAGAGTCAAGAGGGCAGGTTGTGCAGGCTTGTATGTCTGTATGTCCAATGTTTGTAAGCAGCAGCCCCTATTAGAGGGAACTCTTCCCTCATCTCCCAGGGCGCAAGACCCAAGTCAAAGATGGTGGGGTGAAGAGGAGGGGCAGGCGAACAAACACATGCTTGCTTTGGAGTGCAGGGGAGGTGTCTGTGGGACATGAAAATTTGACTTTCCACTCTTGCTCCGCCATCCCAAGCATGGAGGCTGGGAGAGAGTAACTAATTATACTGTCTATTACTCCCTGAAGACTACAACTCCATTCCTGCAACCAAATGACCCCAAATTTCAGCCCATGTCCAGCAAATAGATGAACTGTGAACACAGTCATTCTGCAAAGTCATTGCTGCTTCTCGGTAGGGGGAATGTTGGTCTGCTGACTCTAAAAGGATGGGGTCATGTTGGGGAAAGGTAAGACTAGCTTTCCCCTTGCAAGTTTTCTCCCTCTCAGACACCTGAACTCCTCAGGAAATCTAAAAGCCTGTACATAAATGAGAGAAGAACCCCTCTGTCATCTTTCATGCTACTTTTGTTTAGAAGCTAAAAGGGACTCCTGCCCACCTGGGGCCTGTATTCTCTGGTCAGTCCAAGTGCAGGGAGATGAGGGAGGAGAGATGCTCATATCTGTTTCCAGAAGCACCAGGCCACAAGCTCTCTCTGAAGACGACGAGTGAGACGTCAGCTCCCGTGCTTGGCTTCGGGTCCTGAATCCTTCTATGTCCATGCCCGGTAGGAACAGGCCAGAAAAGCAAAGGGCCAGTGCGGTAGCAGAAAAATATGATGGGCAAAGAAGCCACTGCATTTCCCTGGGAGTCCTTGGATTAGTCTATGAGTTCACTGGTTCCACCAGGAAGGGAACCCCAGACATTAATTTAATACAAAATTCACCTAGTGGGTAGGCCCTGGGCAAGAAAAACAAAACAAAACCAGGGCCTCTTTCAATCCAACACCCTTCCCCCTCCCTCCCCCAGACCAAAAAAGAAAAAAAAAATCCCCAAAGGACATGGGGTCTTTTGAATGAGTAATGATTCTCCCTTATTTCCTTCCAGTTTTAAGGCTTGGAAATGTGTCTCTTGAATAACTATAGAGAAAGGAGCTGGAGAGACAAACTGGGCTATGGTCGAGTTAAAATCATGGAGAACCTTCAGAGCCCACTCCCCACCATACCCCTGGCACAAAACACTGTTCTATCTCAGCTTATGGGGGAGAGGGGGGTGGGAGGGGCAAAGGAACAGACCTAAAATTTAGTCCTTACTACTCAAGACATTCTACTATACACAGTACCATGAAACAAGGGAGAGGATGCAAAAGCTGCTTCTTAAGTGATGTGGGAGTGGGGCAGGAATCCCCTCCTCGATGGGGTTTGTAACACAGCATGTGGTGGCAAAGGGGGGGTGGTGGGGGTGGGGCACAGAGCAAGCAAGACCTCCTCAAGTTAGATCCAGCTAGGAGGGCAGGCAGCAGTCACCAGGAGGGAAGATTGCAAGGGGGAGGCAGCAAGACACATGTGGCTGGCACTACTGCCTGAGGTCACCCAGCTCAGGGTGCCAGGCCCCAGGGGCATGGAAGGCACTGGAGCGTCTGATGGTATGAGGTGAATCGAGGGCTAGAATGGTCCCTCTCAGAGAGGAAAGCCAGGAATAGCCCAGAATCGGGCGGCAGTTGGGGGGAATTAGGAAGGGGGTGATGGTGGAGATAACGGTGAGGACAGGAAGGAGACGAGGGAAAAAATCAAAAGGGATTATTCCCCAATCGATCCCAGAATGTGTCGAAGGCTAGGGTGAGTTGGACGGCTCAGAAACAGAGGCTCAAGGGTGCTGTGCAGTACCCTTTTCCATTTGAGGACCCTTCCTGCCCCTCCCCAGGCTTTCCCCCCACCTTGCCCTCCCCCCCTTCCCCTTCCTCAGGACTCCCTGGTCCTGGAGAGCTCAAGGGATTGAATATATCAGAAGAAACTTCAAGTTGGTATCCAGGAAGCGCCAGCAATAAATAAATAAATAAATAATTAAATAGATGAAATGACCAGGCTGAGTCTGCAGCTCTCCCCTCAGATGGAACTTTCTGAAGGATGGGCCCGCTCGGACCCCAGGAAGGGGAGGGCTGAGTCCTAGGGATGGGATGGTGGTGGCCCCAGGGAGAAGGCTCAGGGGGAGGGCCTGGCAGCTGCCCATCCCTAATTTACACGGTTACTAGAGGGAGGGACTCTTTGTCCTTTGACCTCCTTCCTTTTGGGGGAGGAGGCTGAGGACTCAGAAGCAGGAATGGGACACCAGAGGGGCAAGAGGGGATCAGAAGAAAGATGCCCATCTGAAACACAGCGTTCAGATGGACGGGGGAAGAACAGCAAGGTCATTTCCAAGTTAAAGTATGGCTGGTTGGGGCTGGAGGTTCCCCTCAGCCTGGCTCAGAATCCCCTCCCCACCATGGGGCTTTCTGGAGGGGGGGAACTAGTAAAATTTTCCCCAAGGTCTCCTCACAGGCCAGCTGGAGAGCTCCTGAGGTTGGGGTGAGAAGGGGACAACTTAGCAGGAAGAAAAATGGGGCCAGACCTGGAAGAAGCTGAGGAGCTTCAGGAGAAAGAGTGGGGATCAAAAGCGCCCTTTGGCTTCACAGCTTAAATGTCTTTCCCCTCTCTCCTTCCCCCTCCGGGGGCAATGGGCTTGGGAACACTCTCCACTTAGGAAGGCTAGGAGAGGAGTGGGAAAGAATGCCCAAACCCTCTCGCCCAGAGCCATCAGCATCATCTGGCCTGGACCTAGGGGGCCTCAATTGTCTCAAGAGGCTTTTCTTTAGATGATGTCCAGGCTGCTGGAGGAAATGTGGAATCGAGTGCCCCCTCTGGCTTCTCCTCCTAAGATGTGCCACTTGGTAGCCGCCTTCCGCTCCAGAATTTCACTGTCAGGTCACTGGAAGGGAGAGAGAAAGAGAGAGAGGGCGACGCACAGGTCAGCTCTTAAAGTGGGCCCAGACAACTGGCCTGAAGGGAGTTGAGGGTCAGGTTCCAAAAGCCCCAAGTTCAGCTTGGGGAGCAGGGGACAAACCCTAACTGTGGGGGCTGAGGGATTCTGGGGTGAGAGGGGGCCCTCTTTGCCCAGCTGAAAATTGTGCCAGCTTTCCCCCTTCCCCCCCTTTGCTACCTGTGACCCTCTCCTAGATGTCTTGCCCCATTGCTCATGCTCAGAAGTGGAATGAGTGTGGGGATAGAAATGTGTGACTTTTTGAGGGGTGGGCGGGGAGGGAGAGGGACAGCACTGCTCTCTAGATCAGGTACGATGGGGAGGGTCGGGTAGATGAGGGAGTAAAAATCTCATACCGTTAAGAAGCAGCTTGGATCGAAGTGGAGAAAGAAAGGAAGAGGGAAGAAGGGGAGAATAAGAAAGGAGAGAAAGGACTGAGAGGGAGGGAAGAAGAGGGTCAAGGCAGGCTAGTGGCGCGGCCCTTTATAGCCAGGACGCGGCGTGGAAGGCAGGGGGTGAGTCCAGGGACGTAACTCCACAACTTTACCCGGCAGTCACTGTGACAGGGAAAGAGGGGTAGGGTAGGGGGAGAGAGATAGAAATGCATTGAGAGATAGAGACACAGAGAGAGACAGAGACAGGAAGAGGGAATATGGTCGGAAAAGAAGGAAGAAAAGATCAATTCAAGTAGAGTAGAACTCCCCCCCAAGGATGAGGTGGCCTGGAGGGCCCCTCCATGGGGGACTGGGAGACAAATAGATGGATGGACCTGGGCTGGGGGTGAGAGGTATGAGGGAAGCTGCTGTACCCTTCCTGGGAGGCCCTATTCTTGGCAGGGGATGACAGCTGGGAGGTGGTGGGGGAGAAGGGAAGACCTGCACTTCATAATAACAGCAATGCTTATTGATTGAATAGAGGTGACCAGAGGAGGCTGGGATGAGGGAGAACTGAGCAGGAACACAGCACCTCTCCCCTCTGCTCTCCATCTGCTTGGCTCATCACCCATGCCCTGGCTGCCCCCTTTCCTAGATCCCTCCTCCCTCTTTGACTGGGTGGGTGGAGAGGTTCTGCTACGGCCAGCTCCTACTGAATTCAGAGCCCATGACCGGACCTTCCAGGAACTCTGCCTATTCCTCTCTATCCTGTCCCGGTTATAGCAAAATCTGCTGAATGGGAAGCGAGGGCAGAGATTTCCGGGAGGGTCAGCACTGTGAGTCCTCCAACCTTACCTGGAGGCCGTAAAAATGTGCTTGGAGTTGGTACAGATGGCATTGATGGGGCTGTCATGACCTTTGATCTCTCCAATGGGTGTGAAGTTTTCCACATTCCAGACCTTGATGAAGCCCCCTCGGCAAGCACTCAGCAGCATGGGTCGGCCAGGAACAAAGGCTAGGGCGCAGACCCAGTCCTTGTGGGCATTCGGGATTTGCTGTGGAAGGACAGGATGCAGCCAAGGACTGTAAAGACTGGCTACCCTGGCAATGGAATCTCAAAGGCTTTTCAGACAAGGGGCCCAGGGGAACTAGCACTTTTCTGAAGTATGGGGCAAAAGGGGAGGGAAGAGGTCAAGTACAGGATGGGAGGCAAGCCCTAGCTCTAATTTCTTCTACTGTTCATCCCACACGGTCATCCCATAAGACCTCACTGATGCTGAGAAACATGGGCAAAGGCCAGGTAGCAGAACTCTGCTTGTCCCGTCTCCCTTCAGAGCCTGCCCCACTGGTGTCTGGAGGCCCCGGGGAGTGGCCCTTCCTGGGAGCCCTAGCTTAGCAAGTTTCATTCCACAGTGATCAGACCTCAGCTGCACCTGCCCCGGGAAGAGGGACCAGAAAGAACTTGTCAAGCTCTGCTGAGGCATGATTGACAGCAGGTCCTTCTCAAGCAATGCTAGGGAATGAGAGTAAATGACACTGGGCAGCAGAAGGTGGGTGGGTAGAAGGGAAGGCAGAAGAGGGAAACCGGAGGTGCTGTTGACCAGCTTTCCTGACTTCATATGCTGCATGCTCATCCTTTCCCTCACTTCCCTGTCCCAACCTGAATGAGCTCCTGCTGCTCCAGGTCCCACTTCTTAATGCCATTATCCCGGGAGCCGCTGAACAGGATGTCACTCTGGATGGCTAGGCACTCAATGCCGTCATAGTGCGGGGGCTCAAAGTTGTGGGTGGGGCTGATGTTACCCATCACACTCTCTGCCAGCTCAAATATCTGTCGAGAAGAAGCAAGTACCTATGTGTCAGGTGGTGGGAAGGATGGAGGGTCAGTCTTAGGGCTTGAAGTGTATGGGGTCATGTGTGGGAGAGATTTGCCACCTTCCAAAGAGCCCAGGGAAGCCAGATTCTTCCTCTAGGTCCTGGGTTCAAATCTTTTACTAGACTATGTCATAGCCTTCCTTGCCCCCTTCTTCCCCCAGACACTACCATGTCTTCTTGGACAACCAGGAAAAAGAGTGAATGTTTTTGGTGCTGAACAGGACAAGATGAGGGCAGGAGTATAAAGAAATGCCCTCTCCCAAATCACTAGTGGGAAGTATATAGGTATACTGCTGAATTACAGAAGAAGTCTCCCAGATGGGGATATGTGAGCAATTTTATTAAGTTGATCTCAACAATCACTAAAAGTCTGTTGTATACGGTCCATTGTAGTAGGTGCTGGGGAGAGCTTAAAAAAAATAGGTAAGGGAAGGAAGTTCAAGACACATTCCTGCCCTCATGAAGTTTACAATCCAGTGGAGAGATATGATACATTCACAGACAGGGATAGGGACTGGACTCGTAATTTAATTAGTACAGGGAACTCTTAGATGAGGAAGCTCCCTCTACCAACATAGGTTGGCACCTTCTCTGTAACTTAGAGTCTTACTAGAGTTGCAGAGATCAGGGGTGACAGACTCAAGTAGAAGCAGGGTCACTAAACGAGGAGGGCCACATATTGACTTAAAACCACATAGTAACATTATCTATGTTCTATTGCATTTATTTTGTGAAATATTTCGCAATTACATTTTAATCTAGTTGGACCTAACTGGACAGTAAAGGCACCAAAGGGAGTGTTTGACACCTGTGGCTTAGAACCCTGAGAGATAAAATGTCTCCTCTGGGGTCATTCAGCCAGGAGGTGTCAGAGATGGGACTTGAACTCAGCTCTTCCTGGTCCCAAAGGAAATTATATTATGTGAAGTGATTAGCGTAGTGCTTGGCCCATAGAATTATAATAGCTAATTATATAGCGCTTCCTATGTGCCAGGTACTGTGCTAAGTGCTCTTAAATAATTATCTCATTTGATCCTCACAACAACCCTTGGAGGTAGATGCTATTATTATTATCCCCATTTTACAGATGAAGAAACTGAGGTAGACAGTGACTTGCCCAGGACACACTTTGGACTCAGGTCTTCCTGACGCCTAGCTGCAATCTAGGCGAATCCTTGCTAATGTGGAGGAGCCCAGTGGTTGTTAGAAGCCTTGGTTCCAGAAATTGGAGGAAAGGGGCTGGGAATTAACAGTGAGAACTTGGAATGTCAAGAGGAATCTGGAAAGGCCACACTCTGGGTTTGCTCTTGGGACTGTATGACAGCTGTCCAGATGTTTGGGCAAGGACAGTTCTCGAGCTGGATGGCGACAGGTAATGAGTAGCCCTAGAAGATGGGCTGGCCTCTGGGGCCAGATTAGGGGCACCTTCAGAAAGATCTTGCTGCCTCATGATTTGACAATTTTGAACTATACCAACATGTTTTATTTTTTAAATTTTATTTATATTATATTTATATTTATCATATTTGCATTTATATATTATCTATAAATACATTCATTTTTATTTTATTATATATTATATATTTATATTATATATATTTATATTTTCTTCATTTTTTTACTAGGAAAGCTCTTCTGAATGACCTTACCTGTGCCTCAGGATGAGCTAAGGAGAAATTGAGGCCAGACTAGGCAAGGACTGGAAGCAACGATTAGGAGGCACAAAAGAGGCAGCTCTCTCTTCCTTTCTGAAGTTTTGGCAGTAAAATGGTAAAGCAGGATGGTGCAGAATAAGAAAACCCCAGGTGAGGCTAACCCTGGATCTCAGGTGCTGCTATGAGGACCTTTTCCTGCTAGATGGTCCCAGGTCTTCCCAGGAAGAATAAAGAAGCCCCTGACACTGTCTGGTTGGTCTTGTAACAAATCTTAGAGGGCTTGGTGGTCTCCTCAGCAGATTGCAACACTGCCACACCTTGTCATTCCTTTAATATTTCAGGGATACCAGTACAACAGCTGGGAGAATGTTGTCTATTATTTCTCATATTTGCTATAATGATCAATCTACTTTCTTTTAAGCTGCTTGCAAGTGGGGGTAATTTCATTCTTTGTACTTGTACCTCCAATACCTAGCACATGGTAAGTGCTAGTTGATTGTAATCAATGGTGCTACATTATGTTCTACTTTAAACCACCATGTATACAATCTTTCCATTGCCCTTTGGGTCAACTTGCAATTGATCCTCCTGAGATCATGGTGTTCCACGATTCTCAGCCATAAAGGACCACAGGAAGAATACTTGGGTTATGAGGAGCTTTGGCAACTGTGAGTTGCTTGGGGTCACTGAAAGCATTGTATAATTTACCAAATGTAACTGAGCCCCAACGGCTCCTATTTAATTCTATAGCCAACTCATTGTCCATATGTAGCACCTGACAACTGCATGTTATCTTCTGGATGACATTTGCTTTTCATCCACTTTGTTTTTCCACTGTGAATGGTTAAACCCATCTCTTTCACATGATTATGAATTTTGTTGAGATTTTTAGTGTTTACAGGGCATGATGAAGCAAGTGTTATGGTATCTATGGATAGAAGCATTTGGAATAGCTTCCCATCAATAAGGAATCCTTCTATTTGAACTCTGCACAGGTCATCTTGTGGCAGAGGTGGCAAACAAACCTCCATCCCTGGCTTACGTTCTGAAGCTCAGTAGATCATAGAACAGAATTGTTTCTATGATGACATCTGTCAGAATTTTACATTACATATGGGAGGCAAATTATTTTAGAACTTTTAAGCTGCATTTTGTTCTACTGAGCCCCCCTCCCCAATTTTTTTTAAAAATCAGCAAATGATAGACACAGCAAAATCTTGTGTTCTCTATATTACCCAGTCTCTTCAGTGACTGAACATGTGATCCTTAGCAGAAAACAGCTTGTAGAAGGCTGCTTTTTCCTCCCTCAAGCTTTTACCCTTGACATACGCATATATTACTCGCCTAATGATTTTACAGAGAAGAGAAAATAGGCAAGGGGGAATTGGAGCTGTTGGTGGATTCTTGGTCACCTTTTTGTTTGGTAAAAGTACCATCCATGAGCTCTTCCATTCTTTGCCTCTTTGAGACATCCTGAAAACGAATTCCTGTGTGCTTTTAAAATTGTATTGTGGATTTCTTCTGTATGTCTTTGGTCAGGTTCAGTGGCACTTCCCAACTTCATCTTAAATGCCACTTTAATTTTATAGGTATTAATGTCCAAATGTGGGGGGTTTCCACTATGGTGAGAATATGAAGCCTATAAAGAAAATACATCTATACCTCCATAGATGGCTATAGAAATGCTGGCGGATGTTTTATTTTACACCTACATGTTAATCTTCCTCATTTCATCTACAAATGATCTTGGGATTCTCTGGCTTAGCTGCATCTCCCGTGAGTCTCATTTTCCCTGAAACTGCTTCTTGTCATTGAGCGTGGTGATACTGCTCCTCAACTTTCATCATCCTCTTCTGTAATGTTCTGCAAATGGGCTCATACTCTAAACTGGTGCTCCTCTTGGTTGCGGTCTCTCTTAGCTTGGCAGGGTATGCCAGAGGGCTTTTTTCATCAACCAGTGCCATATTTTGATTGCTTGTGACCTACCTCAAGGTTCAAGGTGCTACTGATATACAGATTTCTACTTGTAGAAGGGGAGTTAAGAGGTGGATTAGGTCAATATTATTATTGTTCTTAACATTATTATAATCTACTGGAATTATAAGCACAACTCTCATTGTGGGAGTCTTTTCTTAAGAAGAAACTACATCTCTGGTCACCCTTTCCAGTACTGGCAACACTTCTACTCACAGAATCTCCCCCCAACTCACAAGTTGTGTTGGGGGAGTTGGAATACTGACTTTCTATTGCCACTTCCAGACTCTCCTTTGACTGCCACCACACAGCATTCTTTCCTTTTCGGAGGTTCAGTCAATTTAAATTTATTATCCAAACTAGATTCTGGTAGCTGTTATCTACCAAGCCCCATGATCCTCTCCTCCCTTTCTCAAAGAGTTTGGTGCTTGGTTGAAAGACTTCCTCTCCATCCCAACTCCTTCCCTCACTCCAAGGGACTTAACATCTATGTTGATGCACTCTCAAATATTCTAAATTCCCAGTTCTTCATGACTTAACCTTTCACTTCACTTCAATGACACACAGCGTTTGGCATAACCTTGATCTTGCCATTACCCACAAGTCGTTGACTTTTGTGTTCAAGAAGTCTGAATTTCTTTTATTTGATCATAATCTTTTTTTTTTCCATCTCTTCCTCTGCCTCACTTCTCCCAAATCTACCTTTTGTCCTCATCATGCCCTACAGTTCTCCATCACCCAATACTATCCCAGGGCATCACTCCAGCCCTGTCTACACTCTCTTCCCTTCTAAATCTTGACCCCTTGATGAACCACTTAAAGTCTACATTATCCTCTACTCTCAAATCACTTGTTTTTCCCCAAACCCTCCCATCTTCTGATCAAGGACATAACCATCCTCCCAGAGACCTGGGTTTACAACTCTGACATCATCCTCAGCTCCTCTCTCTCACTTACCCCATACATCTAACAGGTTGTAAATTTGTCATTTCTTTGTCTACAACGTCTTGTGCATAAACCCCCTTCTGATACAACCACAACCCTCATTTGAGGACCTCTCTCTGGGGATTATTCCCTGCCCACTCCTGCCAAAGTGATTTTCCTATCATATAAGTCTAACTGTGCTACCCCGCCTCTGCCCTCAGTAAACTCCAGTGGCTCCAAGACCCAAGAGAAAGTCCTTTGTCTGGCATTCAAAGCTCTTCACAATGTGGCTTTCTTACCTTTTCCAGTCTTCCTGTATTCTACTCCGCACCAATCACTCTACAGTCTGGGCTATCCTGGCCTAATTGCTGTTCCTCTCACATGATATTTTATCTCTTCTTTCCATGCCATTGCACTGGCTGTTCTCTATGATTAGAAGGCAACAGCTGGAGGGAGGCAGCTGGTGATGCAATGGATAAAGCACTGGACCTGGAGTCAACAAGACCTGAGTTCAAATCTGGCCTCAGATGATTAGCTGTGTGACTCTGGGAAAGTCACTTAACCTGTTTGCCTCAGTTTCCTCAACTGTAAAACAGAGATAATAATAACACCTACCTGGCAGGGTTATTGTGAGGATCAAATGAGATCTATTTGTACAAGTACTTAACATGGTGGCTGACATGTAGGTGCTTAATAAATGTTTGTTGCTTAACTGATTGAGTCCCTGGAATTCATGAGGAGCTAGTACCTTTACATAATGATCCTTGGAACCGGTCACCACAAGATCATGGTGGTTGGAAGTCTGGTTGACCGTCAAGCACATCACAGGACCAATGTGGCCAGTCAGCTTCCCAATGGGCTGGAACCTGTTTGGGGAGAAGAGTGCCCAAATGGAACACTGGGCAGAAGCAATCCTCTGGACTGGGATGTGAATAAGGAGTGGGGATGAGGACCAGCCTGACAAACAAGGCAGCATAGCTGGATGGCTCTGACCCAGTCTCAGATTGAGACTAGGAGACACTAACCTTCAGATATCCCAACATGATTGGGAAGGGGTCAGTTTCCTCAGGAGAGGCTGAGGTGCCAAAGCAGAAGAGAATGAATAAAAGGAATGTGTCTAGATCAATCCAGGGAGAATGGGTGACTCCAAACACCCAGCAGCTTCCTGGGGTCTCCCCACCCACCCAGCAGAATCTTCCAACCCATCCATTGCTGCCCCTGACCTGTTGAGTTCCCAGATGCGGACTGAGTTGCCAGAGGCAGCATACAGAGTGGTGCCCGTAGGGTTGAGGGCGATCTGGTTGATCTGGTGTTCCCCTTGAGCGCTTGTGACAGTTCGATTGGTGGTGCTTGCGCAGGCGTCTCCGGAGATCACCTGACCTGAGGACCTGGCCCAGCCCAAGGGGAGCACAGTTAGACCTGGCTGCAGCCCATTAAGCCACCCCCTAGTCTCACTCTAGTGACTCTTGCTATCCCCCTCCTTTTAGGCAGCCTGCCCAATTTGATTGACAGGTGACCCCTTCCCTGGGCCCTTCTATCTGACCGAGGATCTCCCCTCCCTCATGTCTGGACTTTCAGTGCAGGCACCTTCTAGAGCTGACTTAGCTTTAGTTTGTCATCTTCACATCCTTGATCTCTGTCTACACCCTTGGGTCTACCTCTGAGTGTAGGCCTGGGGTGGGGGGGATGGAGGGAGGGCAGGGACTATGTCTATGGAAACCACTTTTCATGCTGCATGTGGGTGAGTGATGAGCATGGGCTTAGGATGAAGACCTGCTCAGCTCTTGGATAAGGTACCAGGGCAGGTCTGCATGCTCAGTCTGTCACCTAAACCTTCATTCCCCAAGGCTACAGTGCTTAAGGGAGGCAGGGTGCTTACAGGCAAGCTGGAACAAACCTCATCTCTTCTAGTGACTTCAACGGGTCATACTAGCTAACGCCAGCTACACGGCGCCGTGCTCCTGAACCCTCACCCATCGAGGGCTCCTTGACGTGGGGAACTGTGGCAGCCTGCAGGGGCACACCCTGCTCCCTGTACCAGTAAGCCAAGCCAAATCGACTCAACCTCTTCTAAGTGTTTCTACACGCATGACCCCCAGAAGGGCATTGTGTAGAGCCCTTCCGAGCTGAGGAGCACTAATAACCGCTCTGGGACTATCAGGAGCAGTCTTCAGAGTGTCTAGGGCGAGGGCGGGGAGATACCTACGTGAGGGTGCGGATGCACTTGGCCGAATCCCGGATGTCCCACACCTTGATATAGGACGTGGAGACAGAGAACACCAGACCCAGGTGGGCACAGTACTTGATGGAAACAACATTGTTGGGGTGACCCTTCAGAGCGGCAATCTCCTGCCCTGTCACCAGGTTCCACATCTTGCAGCTTCTGTCTGTAGGGGAAGAGACTCCAGGGTAGGCAAGGGTACCTTTGTCAGGGTTTGAGCCGATCATCCCCAGGCACAAGACCTCCCACCACCCTGTGTATAGGAAGGGTCTGATCCTGGGCACCAGGAGCTAAGCAGAGCAGAAGAATATGCAATCCCAGTCCACATACATGTGACATGGGACAGAAACAAACACAAAACTAGCAACAGCCAGCAAGAGTTTTAGGCATGAAGTACTGCAACTGGGCAAGAGAAAGGAGAGACTTGGGCCGTGAAAACCAGGTGAGGTTAGTCAAAGGAGGGTTCCTGGAGGTGGTAAGGATTGACTAAGATTTTCACGGGATCAAGGGATAGAGACTAGTAAAGAGAAGGGAAGGAGTTCTAGGCAGGGGAAAGGGCCTGAGTGAAAATTTGGAGATAGAAGACATCGAGATGTACATGTATGGGGGCAAGGAGTCCTAGGAAAAGCAAAGAGGTTGAGGTGGGGAGACATGAGAAATTTTATATATGTGCTTGTGTGTGTGTGTGTGTGTGTGTATAAAATGAAGGAGGGTCCCTTAATTCAGTTCTCTTTGGTCAGCTCTCAACAGCCAGCCAAGGCAATTGGAACTTGGTGACACAGTTAGGAGAGGCTTCCTAGAAGCCCCTACCTTCTCCCACTTTGGGTCTGTACCTCACATACCTTTTGATCCCGTGAAGAGCAGCTCATCGGTGGCATCCAAGCAAAGAATGGGTTTGGTGTGACCCTCAGCTACTGAGACACACTGCAAGGGAGCAGTCCGGGCACTCTTAGCTCCACCAATGGGGTTGATGATTCCCCTTTCCAGGGAGAGAGAGGAAAAGAAATTAGCCTGGCAGAAAGGCAACCACTGGACAGAGTTATAGCTCAAGGGAAGAAAGAAGGGGAGAGAAGGAGGAAGGGAAAACCGATGACAGTCTCATAAAAGAACTAAACCAATGACAGTCTCATAAAAGAACTCTAAACAAAATGTGTGTGTGTGTGTGTGTGTGTGTGTGTGTGTGTGTGTGTGGACTTGGGAGGCAGAAGGAGGAGGAAAAGAGCTGTCTTATAAAAGGCTGGTTCCTCCAACAGTAATTTCTGTGGGCCTAAACCCAGGCTGGGCACTAGGGGAAGAGGCAGGGGCAGGAGACATCTGTAGCCTTTGACTTCCTGAAACTCCCAGTCTGACAGGAGAGATACGGTGCCTGCCTAATAGGGACAGTATGATAAGACACAAACTGAGACAGAGAAATAAGAACAGAATACATAGCAGCTAGACAGAATTAGAAACTAGACTTCTCTCCTGGAATGGTTCCTTCCTGGTTAAAGCAGCTTGTCTGATTTCTAGAAGTACAGAGAGATCGTCTGACATCCCCCTAGGTCACCATTTCCCTTCCTCTATTTAACTCTCAATAACTGGTCCTTCTGCAGTTTTTAATGCCTTAAATTTGCTATGTAATTTTACTACAATATTTTACAATATTACTACTACTACTACTACTATAAGTACTATTACTACTACTACTACTACTATAATTACTACTACTACTACTACTACTACTACTACACACACACACACACACACACACACACACACATCATGAAGACACACACATCTTCCTTCTGTTAGGTCAGTGCAATCAGTTGTCACAATATGTCAAATGCTTTCCAGAAATCTCAGGTTTTATCTCAGTTCACACAGAATTAAGTGAGTTAGGTATTAGAGGGTGGAGCTCTAGCATAAGCATAATAAATCCTAATTACCCAAGCTATTTCCTATTTAGATCCCCTAGGAAAAGGATTTTGGAAAAAAAAAAGAAAAAAAAGAAAAGGAGATTGATTTTATTAGGCATTTGCTGGATCTCAAAGTTTTAGTTTCTTGGCTAAGTAATATAGGTACCCAAGAAATGCTTGTTGAATGAAGGTGATTCCAAGAATGAAGATTTGTTTCTCAAAAAGGTAGAAGTGTTTTATATATAGGAAAGATAGCGTATAGATTTATTGATTTCTCTATCTGTTGAGAAAGAGAATTCTTAGGGATGTTTGGCATAGTGAACAGAGAAACTGCCTTGGAGCCCGGACGACTGGCATTCAGTTTCCAGTTGGCTTAATCTCTGATGCGTAATTAGCTAGGTAACTTGGCCTCAGTGTCTCAGGCAAGCTTCAGAGTTATGTCAACGGAGAGAGTTTTACATGCCAGGATACCAGCAATGAAATCACAAGTGTGGACCAAACATACATTATGAGGCTCACTTTAGTACTCTCTTAACTTGGAAATCCTCACCCATATGAAATTATGGAAGAATGAAGATAACAGTACTGGAGGGACTTAAACTCAGAAATCATATATACGTATGTGTGTATATGTACACACATACATACATGTATATATGTATACATATACATACACACTCATAAGGAAATGGAGGGAGAGGGGGAGAGAGACAAAGACAGAGACAGAGTTAAAGAGAGCAAGAGACAGAGAAAGAATGAGAGAGATAATGAAAGAGAAAAAACAAGAGAGAAGGAGACAGAGACAAAAAGAAAGAGAGAATGAGAGAAAGAGAGTGAGAGGTCAAATGATTTGCTCATTCCCACAGGTATCTTTCAGATAGGACAAATAATAAATAATGAGACAGAGAAAAGAGAATGAGACAATGTGAGAAAGAACAAGAAAGAGAGAATGAGAGAGAAAGAATGAGAAAATGAGAGCAAGACAGGGAAAGAGGGAGAGAGGGAGAGCACACACGCTAAGATGTAGTCTTGGGATCATCCGTTAAGGAGCTCCTGTTGACTAGATGGTGTATGCAGCTGGAATGCCATATAAACAGTCCCTAGATCACTCCCCGTTGTCCTCATAGATAGTCATCTCAGGGGTAGCTAGGTGGCGCAGTGGATAGAGCTCTGGCCTTGCAGTCAGGAGGACCTGAGTTCAAATCCGGCCTCAGACACTTGACACTTACTAGCTGTGTGACCCCAGGCAAGTCACCTAACCCTGACTGCCTCACCAAAAAGCAAAAAAACAAACAGACGGTCATCTCTCTACAGACTGCTGCTGCATCCTCAGTATTGTACCCTCTCAATTTCCCACACTAGTGGAGAAGAGGAAAGGCACAGGTGATTCAATAAAATAATGATTTTTTTTAAGCCCAGCTATTCCTGACTGTGGAAGAGTTTTATATCCAGCCAACTGAAAATGTGCCTCTGCTCTCTGCCCATCACTCCCTGCTTTTTGTTGTCACCTTGATCCTTGTGAGCCATCCTTGGCTCGGCTCTCCTCTCAGGGCCTGGGCAAGGACGGAGAAGGAGGGCCAGCCCTGCTGGCATTTGGAAAATGGACCATCTGAGAACGGGTAGACTGGTAGGAAGCTCCACCTTCCTGTACCCAAGCAGGCAGAAGGATAAAGGCTGGACCCCACAGCAGAAGATGCTGCAGACGGCTTCACCTGAGCTCCCTCCTCAGCTCCCAGAGGCTCTTGGCTGGCCAATCAGACTGTTCTCACCTGGTGCTTGGATACATTGCAACAACGCAATGGAAAGAACACTTGACCTTGGAGTCGGAGAACCTGGGTTTCAAATCCTGGCTCTATCATTTATCATTTGTACCATCTGAAAGATGCCTGTGGGAATGGGCCAATCAAAAATTGAGCTCTCTGGGCCTCATGTTCCTTGTTTGTAAAGCAAGAAGACTGGCCTAGGTGATGTCTGGGGCCCCTTCCAGCTCTAAGTCGTGTGACCCTAAGTTTGAATTTGAATGTCCAGGGTGGAACGAAGAAACTTGTTATTATTGTATGTGAACGGGGCAGTCCAGTCAAAGGCCTCCTGCGGGGCCTCCTGCACGATCCTCTGTCTCCCACCTCCATGCCTTTGGCACTGGAGTGTCCGCAATGTCCTCCTTCGTCCCTTCCCTCTCTCAGAAGCCTTAGTTCTGAGGCTCAGCCCGACCACTGCCTTCTACATGAGGCCTTTCCTGATCCCCCAGCTGCTAGTGCTTCCTTCCCCTAAGGTACTTTGTCCCTATTTTGTATGCACCTGTATAATTACTTGTCTTCAGAGAGACTTAATGTAAGCCCCTTGAGGGCAGGCAGAGTTTTTGCTTTTGTCTTTGTATCCTAGAGGCAGCTAGGTGGTGCGGTGCCAGACTTGAAATCAGAAAGACTGACATCCAAATCCAGCCCATGACGCTTAATAAGAGGTGGATAACTCTGGCCAAGTCACTTAACCTCTCTGAGCCTCAGTTTCCCTATCTATAAAATGGGAATAATAACAGCACCCACCTCTCAGGGTTGTGAGGATCAAATAATAAGCTATTTTAAAGAACTTTGCAAACCTTAAAGTACTGTATAAATGCTAGCGATGACTGTGTCTCCCCAGAGCCTAGCACAATGCCTGGCACACAGTCCGTACTTCATCTTAATGCTTTGGATGGAGTCAATGACTGCAGGACTGGAGCGCTATGGGTGGATGAGAGGATACTTTTGCAAGGCTGCTTTGTGGTAGGCTGGGACGAGGAAGCAGCTTCACTCTGCCCTAAAGCGTCCCTTTCAGAGGCAATGTAAAAATAATTCACTTCATTGGCACCACCCATCGATGGGTGGTCACCTCTGTGGCACAAGGAGGAGCTGAGCGAGTCACCAAGTACAGGACGCAGGAGAAGCTGCAGCAGAGAGGCCAGGAGGTCTGTGCCAACTCTTCTTCCACCCCATGACGATATTGGGGGGAGGGGGCCTCATGTTTCATAGCAAAAGGAATTCCTCCCACCCCCTCCAGAGTACCAGTCAAAGGGAAGAGAAAGCAGGAGCTAAAATAGCGTGCGGTCTCTCTCCACCCATTCCCATAATCCTTCTATCCCAAATGCAGCGAGAAACTTTTGAGCTCAACTGACGCCATTCAGCCAACCTGAGAGGGAGGAACCAACCTTTGTGGGTGGGGGCAGCAGGAACAGGGTCTACAGAGAACCAGTCACTCAGTGAGGGTGGGGAGGAGGGAGGAAGAGGATGCAGGACCCAGGGGTGACACAGGATGGGCAGCATGCAGAGGGAGGGAGCAAGGAGGGGGGAGAGAGGCTGGGCGGGCAGAGGAGAGAGACGTGAGAGATGGAGAGAAGCACAAAAAGGAAGGAAGAGGGACAGGGAAACCAAACGCGAGCGCTGTACCTCAGGACCTCCGAGATAGAGGAGTCGCTGTCATCAGACCTGGGGAGGGCAGAAAATTAGCTGGATTAGGGGGGTGGGGAGAGAGGAAGAACAAACAAAGCAACAGAAGGAGAAGAGGCAGCAGCAGAGCTGGGAAGGTCAGAGGGTTATTTTCCTCCAGAGAGAGGCAGAAAACTGAGTCAGGGTGGGGAGGGGTAGGATCGGAGAGGGTTGCAGAAGGAGAGGGAGAGAGGAGGGGGTGGGGGGAGAGCTTAGGGCCAGGCCTAGATGCTAGGGTGCCAGGGTAGACTCCTCATGAGGGTCAGAGGCAGGAGTACCCTCCTGACTAATGGGCTGGGCCAGGAAGGCAGGAATTAGGGGAAGAGGGCTATGGGGAGGGGATGGGAAAGGGCCAGCCCTTGATTGAGGGCAGGAGGTGGTGATGGTTCCTGGGCCCTGTTTGTCCAGTTCCAAGCTCTCCAGCTGCCCCACAGCCTAAGCTGGAGGGCACGCTGCCCTCAAGCCAGTAGCACCCAAATACCACCCTGCGAGGGCCATGATGCTTCTGCACAGGCCAAAAGGAAGCAGCCACCATCTTCTCCAGGCCCTCCCTAAGCCCATATTGGGCAAGAGCTAGGCGCTAGCAGCAGAGCAGCCAGCATGGACCCAGCAGGAGCAGTTCCTGAGCTGGCCACCCTTCGGTGCTCAGCACCCCAGCCTCGATTCTCAGAAACCCTCATGTTACTGAGTTGCAGAGCCTACTGAGGTCCTAGAGGTTCCTCTGGGGCCCTTACTCCCCTGGGTCTCACAAACTTCATATGGCCAAAGCAGGTTGGCACCTATACCCTCTATGCTGAGACTTTTCTCACCCTGTTTGGTATGAGTGATGCCTTTGGTAGACTTTCCCATGCCCCCCTATTCCCACCCACCCGAGGACACTCTCTCAGGGTAGCTGGGTCAAGGTCAGGGACGGAGATTCGTGCTCCATTCCTTTACCAAAGGTCACTCTGAATTTTGAAGGACAGCTTCTGCGACCACTTTTCTCACCCTTACCTCTCTGATTCCTGTAGGAACATGAGTGGTCAGAGGTAGGGGACTCAAGAGGAGTGGGGTCAGCTTAGTGATATGCTTAGGAAGCTCAGTTTTCACTGAGGGATTTTTTTTTCAAGTCCAAGGTGAATGATTTTCCCAGTAGGATGGTCAGTGCTGAGTGTGGGTCAATCCTCTGACACCATGGACCAGATAAAGGAAGGTACCAAGACAGTTCCTCTGCAAACTTGGACCCTTGTACAGAAGAGAGAGCCAGCTGTCCTCATCTGACACAGAAATTAGTCCATGGCAGCAGAGGCTGCCCTGGATCAGGGTCCTAACTCTCCAACCAGCTGAGTGGAGATGTGTGAGGCCAGCAAGCTGCCGGGAGCCTGAGAAGGGGCCTATGGGAGCTGGTGGGGAATGGGAGAGGGAGGTGGCTCTCCAATATCCCCAAGGCAAGTACATCATGGTAGCAGATTCCCTCACTTCTTACTTCTAAGTCTGTGAGATAGAGACTAAATATACCATGGGGTTGGGGTAACCAAGGCACAGATTTAAAGAAAGTAGAGCAGATTTTGCCCTGTGCTGGCACTGGCACCCACCAAAGGAGCCCCTTTTCTGCTGGCAACCTATGAAACACATCATGGAGGTCTAAAGAGTCCTGTCTGAAGCATCTGTCTTAGAGACAAAGGAGGGACAGAAGGATGTAGTACTTGAAGTCCCACCATTGAACAGTGGGGACCACTGACATCGTCACCTGATGCTGAAGCACCAGAGAGGAGCCCAAAGTCTGTATTGAAGAGGGTCAAAGGGCACACTGCCTGTGGACCAGGCCCAGAACAGGGTGAGGTGCAGCTCTCAAATTTTCTTCTCCTCCCCTCCCTCCATCCTATACCAGAGGACAAGAGCAGGACCTGAATAGTCTCCATCTATGAGGACAGATGACATTAGGAGAGACATGAGGACCTTATGCTTCAGAAGGGGCCCTGGGAACCTGGAGGAAGGGCAGGGAGGGAAAGGAAGGGGGAGAGAAGGGGATTTAATTCTTTGTTTGTCCCTGGGATCTAACCCAGGTTCAGCTTCCTCTCCCCTCCTCCCCCAGTATTGCCCCCTCCTCCCCCTGGATCCCAGCCCTTGAGCCCCTGAGGCCCCGGCTCTTACTTGTCCAGTGCTGACCCCTGGCTCTGATTGCTGGTGAGGCGAGAGAAGACGTTGCGGTCATTGCGCGGCCGCGTAGGGGGGGACGAAGGGGGTGTGAAGGCCATGTCCGAGGACCTGGAGTGGGACCAGGAGCAGAACAGGGGAACTCACTACCTTCCAAGGCATCCTGTTCCCTTCTGGAATAGCTCTGATTGTTAAGAAGGTCTGCCTTACATGGAATCTAATCCTTCTGTGTCCTCTTTACTCAGTGTAGAGGACTCCCTTCCCCCATGCCAACTGCTTTACAACTTAGGGTCTTGAGAGCTGTCTGCGGGCAATGAGAGACTGGGTGGTTTGTCCAGGGTTACCCAGACGGCATGTGTCAGAGGCTGAATCTAGACCCTGGTTCCAAAGCAGAGTTATTATTATTATTATTATTATTATTAATTATTACTACTACTACTACTACCACCTATTACACCCTGCTGCCTCTTCCTGAGTCTAACATTGACTTCTTATGGTGAGAAAACTTCCCAGTAATGTCTGCAAGGCAGCATGGAATAGGACAGATGACCGTGGGGTCATCTAGCTCAGCCTGTGACATGTATTAGCCATGTGGCCACAGGCAAGTCCCTTAACCTATTAGTACCCCAGGGAGGTCTGCCTCTAAGACTAGAGTTATAGATGAGCTGCTGAGCCGCGTTGATCCAATGGGTTTCCTCTTTTAGAGTTTTCTACAATGAAAAAAATCACAGGCCTGGACTAAAACAGCAAAAATCAAAAACACATCCAATAAGAGCTCAGTGTCTAGCCTAAACCTCTCAGACTGCATTTTACGTCCATTTCCTTCGTCGCCTTGAGCGCAATGAAACACCAAGGAGAGAACACTCATTTGTGTACATAGCTCACCTCTCAGGCCGCTCAGAGGGCACCTAGGCATTCGGAGGAGAACGTGGATGGAGGCTCGGGCTGCTGAGCCACTCATCTCTCTCCTGGCCCTCATAGACAGCAGGTGAGAAAGACAGCAGGGTTCAACTGAAAGACCGATGGGCCAAAGACCTGGATTTCTGGATTTGAATCCTGGTTCTATCACTAGTTTACTGTGTGACTCTCTGGACCCCAGCTTCTTCTTCTGGAGAATAAGGGAATGAGATCATCCCTATGGTCCCTTTCAGCTCTGACAGTGTCTGGTTCTATATCACCAGATCCTAGAGGTTAATATCACCACATATATACCAGTCCTCACCACGATGACCCATTCGGGGATATCTCACTGCTCTTAAAAGTGTTGGCACCTATGGGTTGGCATCATGAGAGGTCTCCATGTTGGCCGGTTAGGGACTGACTCAACCTGTACTTCTTCTCTTTGGCTCCTGAGATCTCACTGCAAGGCCCTAAAGGAACCTCAGATAAATAATCAGATCTGAGGATCAAGGCACTTCTTATAGACCTGCACTAATGGAAAAGACCAGAGGCAAAATAGTTTAAAAAAAAAAGTAATCTCAAGCACTACAAAATGCAAAAGCCATTTACAGCTGACACCCATGAAATGACTTTTGAGAAGCAGGCTTACATTTTTAATTAGGTTTGGGTTAAGCCAATATGAAAATTAATTCACATTCTCTGCGTCCATGACTGGGAAGGATAAGAAGATAGATCAGGGACATCTCAAGAGCTGAAAGGGTTGTCTGATCCAGTTTATTCCTGAACATGAAACCGGTTGGCAACACACTGGACCCATGGTCATACAGCCTTTACTCAAAGACCCATCCTCCCCAAGGCAGCGAGGTGACAGAGAGAAAGTGGGCCAGGATTTAAAAATCTACCAGGGATGGTGCACGAAGTAGATAACCTCCCATAGAAGGTACAATGCACGATATGGATGATTTAGTGTGGGCTATGGTCTTACTTCCTTACCTGATAGGTTGTCCTCGGTCATAAGATTTCCTTCGGGTCAGAGGCGAGGTGTCAGAGCCTCGGGATTGCCGAGGACTAGAACAGGTAGATAAAAGTACAATGAGCCCAAGAGGGTTCCTAAACCCCCAGGAGCAGGGATCTTCCCTCTCACCTTCCCTCCCCAGACCCTCTTCTTGTCCTTACAAGGTGCTGCCGCGGGTGGGCAGGCTGATGGTGCGTGAGACCTTATCTCGGTAGTAGGGGTCTCGGATGGAGAAGCCCACACCGTCCTCCTTGATCTCCACAAGTGAGGCCAGAGACTTAGTGATGTTCTTGGTGGAGATGTCCAGTGGGGGACCCAGGCACTCAGCCGACACCGCCTTCATTTGAGCAGACAGCTTGGGCTCCCCCTGCAGAGGAACAGGGTGAGAGCAGGTCTACTTAGTGGGATGGTCACATACTCATGAAGGCAGAGTTAAGGATGAAAACTCCCAGGGCAGAGTTTCTGAGGATTGGTGATTCACCATGGAACACCACTGGGTGATGACTTTAGGGATAGAGCTCAGCTGTGTTTACCACTGTGATAGTATAGTGGAGTGGAGTGGACGGAGCACTGAACTTGGAGTCAAAAGGACCCAGGTCTGAACCTCACCTCTAACAACTAGCTATGTGACTGTGGACAGGTCACAACCTCTCTGAGCCTCAGTTTACCTATTTGCAAAAGGGGCATAATTGTACTTGTATTATCCATCTCACGGGGTTGTAGTGATGCTCAAATGAATACTGTGCTCTGCTATTATCAGTATTGCTGTTACTGTGAGGACTTTCTCCTAGGCCCATGGGTACATGTTTCAATGATTGCTACTAAGGCAAACCCTCCCTGGAAAGAGAAGACAGAAGTCGTGCTGTGTCAGAAATGGAGGAGGGAGTGGGGAAGACCCAACTTGGCAAAGTGTGGAAAGGGCTGAGAAGATATAAGGAGGGGCCCTAGTCACTCACCTTGAACTTGAAATCATCATGGCTGGTAGAACCTTTCATAGTGAAGGACTGGGAGAAGCTAGGGGAAACAAAGAGGATACTAGCTTGGGTCTATCCCATTCCTTTACCACATCTACATTGGCAGTAGGTATAACCTCCTGAACTTGGGATCACTCCCAATCCCAGCCCAGGGCTGCTGCTGTTCACTCCCACATGGCTCCCTTGCCCGGCCCTCAGCATGTTGTGCCAGCAGGGTCCTTGTGGTTTCCAGCAGGGAAACTCACCTCCCCTCTGAGAACTCAGAGATCTCCTCATCTGTGCTGCAATATCCATTTTCTGTGAAAAGGAAGAGGAAAGGCTCTGTTATGGGAGGGGAGGGGGCAAGGACAGCAGAGGAGAACCAGAACTGTCCCCATCCCTCCAAGTCATTGCTTTTGCTTTAGAGGAGCTGGAGGGAGAGGGAATATATCTCCCAAGACTGGGAGTTTCCCCTTTCACTCCCCCATGCCATCTGCTTAAGACCAAATGGATAATTCTATGAAATTGGGCTGGGCCTCAAGGGGAGGTGAGGTCAAACAGCTCCCCTGGTTCCCATGTCCAACCCTGGAAAAGCACCGATGGAGCAGGTGAACTGCTCATGCTCCCTGGCTAGGGGGCCCTCCTTTCACCCCTTACCCTGCTGCATGTTGTGGATCAGGGCCTGTAGTTCAGGGTGGGCTTCAGCTTTCTCTCGAAGGGCATCCAGGATCAGGTGGTTCTGAGAGGAGTTGTTCATATCTGTTTGCCTCAGCCGCCCCTCCAGCAGTCGGATCTGGGCCTCCTTCTGGGCCACCTGTAGACCCTGGTGAAGAAGGAACAGAGAGGTGTTACCCATCCCTGCCTAGGGGTGGCTTGTGCTAAGCACCATCCTTCCCCGTGAGTCTCCTTCCCCAACCCGACTCCCTTGGGACAGTCCAGTTCTCCTTTCCTTTTCTAGATATTATGGGGTCAAACACAGGGAAGGAGGAGAGAGAGACTGTTTCCACCAAAAAAAGTAAAGGAGGGAACCTTTCCACTTCAGCTCCCTGGGACGGGCCTCCCCATTTAGGACAATGGACCTCAACACTCTCTGTGTCCCATCACTCTCCACATAGCTGCAGTATACTGGTAGCTAAGTTCTACCTCAAATTGGTCTTTGGGGCCACTTTTTTCCTTCTTCTAAGAGATTTTATAGTGTGCTATACTTCCCCTATTAGATTTTTTTTTTGCTTTTTGGTGAGGCAATCAGATAAAGTGACTTGCCCAGGGTCATACAGCTAGTAAATGTCAAGTGTCTGAGGTAAAATTTGAACTCAGGTCCTCCTGACTCCAAGGCCGGAGCTCTGTCCATGGTGCCACCTAGCTGCCCCTTCTCCTATTAGATTTTCAAGCCCCACAAAGGCCCGAATACACCTGTCCCTTATACGTGAGGCCATTATGAAAGGAGTAGGGAAGGTAAGGGCAGAGGAAGTATGGATGGCACTAGATAACTCATGATTCCAAAATGGCGGTGTAGTACTATGGAACAAGTTGGATTTGGACTCACAGGATTTGGGTTCAAATCCCAACTCTGCCAGTTACTTCTCAAGTTCTCCAGGCCTCAGGCTCCCCATTTGTAGAATGACGGGGTTGGACTAGATGACCTCTGGGGTCCTTTCCTGTTCTAAATCTATGACTCGGTGATTTCTTTGGGGCTCAAATTGCTTGTATCCGAAATGGATTCACATACATATATCCTTTTCCCTTCCCGCACCCCCACCTACCTCATCCTTAGCCCAGGTACCCTTCAGTCTTAGCCCTATGTCTTATCCTTCAGTCCAAAGATGAAGAATTGAGAATTGGATCATAGAATAAAATAAGTAGCCACCTCCTCCCCTCCCCATTCTCATCATTTGAGAGATGATGTTATTCTTACTGCACCTCCCCCGCATCTAGTCCCAGGCTCCCTGCACACAAGGTAAAGAAGACGACAGTGAAGGTGATTACCTTTTCAATGGAGGCCTTGAGAAAGTTATCCAGCAAAAGTCGGGCTTCCGCCAGTGAGCAGGAGCTGATGACCACTGATGTGTCTGTGGAGTCAAGCTCCTCCTAGAATAGGGGAATGAAAGGCAGATGGTGCCCCTCAGTCAGTCCCAGAGGCAGGAAGGGAAGACAGAACTGGGCTTAGCTTCCTTTCTATCCCCCTAAGACTGCCTGCCCAATAGTCACCTTGGTCTCCTCCAGCTGTACAATGGTGGCCTGGCAATCAGAAATGCTGTCATTGATATAGTCAATATTGGCTGCTAGCACCTCAATCTCTTCGCCCAGCTCCTGGAGGCCCTTCTCCTCCTCTGGGCTCTCTTCCTGAAGCCTTTCCCTCTTTCTCCTCAATGTTTCCTGAAGAAGAAATAGCTCCTCCCTTTTCTATGGATGAGACCAGAACAGAAGAGAGGGCCAATCGTTATTACCATAACCAATATTATTAACACCATCATCATCACCATTATCATCACTATAACCATCATCTCATCATCATTATCAACATCACCATCTTCATCATCATTATCACCATCATCAGCAGCACAAACATCACCACCACCATCATCACCAACATCACCACCATCATCATCATCACGGCCACCATCACCATCACCATCTTCATCATCACCACCACCATCATCAACATCATCATTTTCATCATCACTATCACCATCATTATTACCATCATCATCATCACTTAGGGGCTATATGGTGCGGTGGATAGAGATCTGGCTTGAAGTCTTGCCTCTGACACATACTTGTTGGATGATCTCAGTGATCTAAGTCAGAGGTGTCAAACACGAGGCCTTGCCTTGTGCATGTGGCCCACAAAACTCTTAGTACAGCAGAATCAGATTAAAATGTGGTTCCTATTGGATTTTAATGTATTGATGTACTAACAAAAAAAGAAATGAAGAAGCAGGAGTGGTTTTCTAAGTCAACATGTGGCTTGCAGGAATCTATGCGTGATAAGTAGCCCCAGTTTCTATCCGAGTTTGACACCACTGCTCTAAGTTACTCTCTAAGACCATAAATTATGGAGAAGGTGCCCTCCTGCATTGGTAAAGAGAGCTTCCTCGTTTAGGAGCTCTCTATATTAATGCCATCAAAGGTCTGGTCCCCATCTCTTGTCCTGATATTTCTGTAGTGCTTTAAGATTTGCAAAGCACTTTATATGGATTATTTCAACTGAATCTCACGAAAAGAAACTGTTAACATCTTCCTTAATTAGGATCTCCTCACAGCTATCCTGCAAAAGGGGCAGCTAGGTGGCGCCATAGTGCATAGAGTACCAGGCCCAGAGTAAGGAAAACTCATCTTCCTGAGTTCAAATCTGGCCTCAGACAGTTGTGTATGATCCTAGGCAAGTCATTTAACCCTATTTGCCTCAGTTTCCTCATCTGTAAAACAAGCCAGAAAAGGAAATGGCAAATCACTCCAGTATCTGTGCCAAGAAAACCCCAAATGGGGTCAGACCCGACTGAAATGGCTAAACAAGATGAAGAAAGATGAACTCCTTATTATCTTACATGCAGACTTTTTAACTTTCAAGACATCATCTCCAAAGATATTGACAGAGTAGCCCCTAGTGAGAAAGGACTTTCTACAGCACAATGAGTAGAAATGATGCTGGATTGTCAATTAAGGAGTTGGGTCTCTTCCAGTTCCAAATCTAAGCTCCTCTGAACCTCTGTGGGAAATTGCTTAGTTTCCCTGGGCCTCAGTTTCTTCATCTGTAAAATGGGAGTGAGGGTGGAGTCTGTGGCCACGAAGGTCCCTTCCTGGCCCAGACTGCTGATCCTCTGCCCTTCATTGAAGACACCCTGTGATCTGGACCCAACCTCCTCTCCAGCTTTGTGCCCTAAGGAATAGTGACTCCTTGGATAGTTTCTGTAAATTTCCCATTCTACACCATTTCTTATTTTGCTAACTTCTACCTTGAATGCGTTCCCTATAAACCCTCACACATTTTCATTTTATTAGAATCCTACCTAACCTTCAAAGATACTAGCTATAGTGATGATGATGATGGTTATCACCATTATTGATATTTCCATCAATCAATCAATAAACATTTATTAAGCACCTGCTATGTACCAGGAATCAAACCCAGGTCTTCCTGACTTGAGCCAAGTACTCTATCCACTATACCACACTGCCTCTATATAGCCATGTATAGCCCAAAGATAAAACCCTGTCCTTTCCCTTCTCCCTTCCTCTTAACTAGGAGACTCAGGCTTAATCTTCTAGGTACTTCTCAGCATCATTAGAATCCACCCCAATAAAAAAAAAAAGGGGCAGGGGAAGAGAGAGGGAAAAGGGAAATGAAGAAAAGTCTAACTAATTTGACTAATCTGGAAAGAAAAGTGAAGTCAGAACTTAGATAATAGAAGGTAGAGAAAAGAAGAGACAGAATTAAAACAAAGGGAAGAAGGGGCCAGCAGAGGAAAAAAGAAATGTCTGCCTTTTCTCTAATGAACAGATGCCTCCTTCAATGCAATTCAACAGACATTTATGCAGCCCTACTATGTGCACAGTACTGTGCTAGGTGTTGGGGTAGACACACAATTAAGATATGATGGTCTCTGCCTTTATGAAACTCCACTGGGAGTGGAGGGCATCAAAGCATTTTGCCCCAACCTTAACCCCATTCTCCTCTACCTTAATGAGCCTCTCCATGTCAGCCTCCAGGTTGACAATGGTCATCCTCTGCATGACAATGTCGATGATGCGCCGTTCTAGGGACTGCCACTTTAACCTGGCAGCTTTGCTGAAGCTCTGGCTGGCCCCCTTCTTCTGGAACTTCTTCCTGAAGGGAAAGGAGCGAGGGGCTCATCACTACCCAGATCTCAGCTGCTGCTGCTGCCCCTACTGCCCTCTCTACCCATACCAAAACAACCAAATGTCTATTCTGAGTAGCTCAAGCAAGAATTGTGTGTTGGGAGGTGGGGGTGGGGATGGGGAAGAAGCATCAATCAACCAAAAAGAATTTATTAAGCACCTACTATGTTCCAGCCAATGGGGATACAAAATTCCAGATCTCAGCAAACTTATGTTTTATTTGAGAAAAAAAAAAGAAAGAAAGGAGCTTGATATAGTTCCAGTGGGTTTCCACTCTGACCTCATAGAAGGGACCTGTGACCCCTTAAATGGAAAATCTCCCTGGAACCACAGGGTGCAATGCTCACAGTCACCCAATCTGACCTGGCAGGACGGGTTCCATTGACTGGGGTCGCTGGGTCCCCCAGAAAGTGGTTGATCTTTCGATTCCATTGGCGCACGATGCTTGAGACAGATCGGGCTCCAGACTCTGCCTCGGATGATGTGGCGCTGGCTGACACCTCTGCCCCCGAGTCCAGCATGGGAGGCTTCGTCACTACCCGTCCTGCTACCCGCTCTGACATAGGCTTGGCCAGGCGTCGCAGCGCGGACACCTGAGAGGAAAGAGGAAACCCTGTGGGCTTCTCATGCTCCTCAGCAATCCCACCATGGGAGACAAAGAGGCCTAGAAAAGGCCTGGGGAGAGGGGACAGAGGCAGTCCAACAAACCCAAGGTTCTGATAATGGGCCACAGGGATAGCTAGAATAGTAAATCAATCAAAGTGCTTTTATTGAAGGCCTATTGAAACCATATGGTCACTTATCCAGATTAGATCTAGGGCTCACGGCAGAGAAAGAACCTGGGGAATTTCTGTCTTTGATATACAGTGAAAAATAAATGCGCAAATGATTTCCACCACAATATGCAAATGAATATCTGCTATCTTTGAGTCAATAGCTCTGATACTACTGGTAAGAGACCAGCAGCCCTGCCCAGGAATGCCCAGGGACCCCAGAAAAGGGAAGAACTGTTCCCAAAGTCAAAAGGAACTTCCCTTCCAAGCTCTAGAATTAGGGAATGGCCCCTTTCAGCAACGACCACCTCAGTGGTGGTGGTGGTAGTGGTAGGTAGAAAGGAAGAGGAAAGGGGCTGATTCTGGGTGGGATTCCTGCCCAGCCCCACTGAGATGAGCTCACCTCCTGGGTTTTCCTCCTCAACACCATCTCCTGCTGGCGCTTCTGAGATTCCAGAGCCCGGATCTGAAACTGTAGGGGAGGAGGAGGTCAAGGGTGAGAGAACCTGGCATTTGGGATCTCAAAGCACTCTAAGTTCACCAGGTTGTTGTAGAGAGTGCAACAGGGAGGTCTTTCATCATCTCTACATTGAGGGAAACTTGAGTTTCACAGAGGGCCAGCTCATGCTCTAACATGGGTCTTCTTCCATAGAATGCTGACTCCCCTCACCACATCCATTTAGAGAATTGCTTCCTTAATGGAAGGCATATCCATCACCCAGCTTGTACCTGTGTGCAAGAGGACTTGAGGAGAGAGTACATCCTCATCCTTCCCTGGGACCCGAGACTCAGAGATTTGATTTGCCCGTGCTGATGCCATAATGGCTTCCAAGGCACTACTAACTAGCTCTGTGATCTTGGGAAGGTCACTGTGCAGTTCTTTGGACTAAAGTTCCCTCCTTGGTAAAATGAGAGCGTCTCTAAAGACCCTTCTAGTTTCACACTCTGCAGTTCTATCATCCAGAGCTCTCTCTGAAATCCCTGCATTCATCCAACTGAGCACCAATTATGTGTCAAGCTCTGGGCTGGACACTGGAGATTCCATGACAAAATCATCTGCCTTTAGGGAGCTTACTTTCTATTTCCTTCCAAACAGCCCAAGAATCTTCTCTGAGTTATTATTCCTGCAGTTGGGAGGGAACCTTTACTGAAAGGATGGCTGCCCTTGGTCAGCAGGGGGAGCCTGGTGGCTTAGGGACAGTGGCCCTCACACATATTATAAATCAGCCAGAAGGAACCTCAGAGACCCACGTGAGATTTTCCCCTGAGCCAGGAACCCAGATGTTGCTTGAAGACAGTCCACTGCACGTTGGAACTGGTCTAATAATAGTCAGGAAGTTTTTCCTCCTATTTTCCTCCTATTAAATTGAAATCTGAATCTAGTGACTTTCATCTTCCCACTCCTCATTCTGCCCATTGGAGAACCCTTCACATGACATCCCATCAAATATTAGAAGACAGCTCTCCCATCCCCCACCCCCCCCAAGTCTTCTCTTCTCCAGGCTATTTCCCATATGGCATACTGGTTACTAGATGCCCTCTCCTTTACCAATCAGGGCTGAGAGGGACCTTAGTTGATCAATAAAGTCCTGCTCTCTTTTTACTGAAACCACCATGACAGTTTCTTATATTTGTCTAGTGCTTTAGAGTTTACAAAGTGCTTTCATACATATCATCCAAAGCTCACAGCTACCCTATGGCATAGGTAGGGATTCTAGGGCTAATACGAACCTCAGAGTTCACCTTGCTGGAATACTTCATTTTACAAATGAGCAAACCAAATCCCAGTGGGGTAATAAGTAAGTGGCTACTTGTCTAAGGTCACACGGTTCCTACAGTTGACTTAATCACGAGAGTTGACTTTCTGAATAATGTTAGAACCTAAATATATTTCCATTACTATGAATTAGAGTAATTTCTGTTCAATGGAAAACTATAGCTAATTGGGTCATTCTTGGTCATTTCCTCGTAGCTGCTCTCAGACTCCCAATTTTGAAGGCTTATTTGCTCATCTTCAGATCAAAAGCAGAGATGTTCCTTCTCACCAGGGCCAATCCTAAGCACTAGCTCCTTCTGAATTCTCAACGACTGAAGGCTCAGGGGGTGAGCAGGAAGAGCTCAAGAAGAACTATCTGTGCATATGAATTGGGGTGGTGAGAGAAGAAAAATGAGATCCCCTCACCTCCTGCCGCCGTTGCTCTTTCTTGAGCTGTGCTATTTCCCGGTTCCTCTTGGTTTCTACCAGCCGCCTCCGCTGCTGCTCCTCCCTCATTTGCTTCATCAAGGCCACCTATAGAGTGATAGAGCATTAGCATGAAGACTTGGTCTAACGGAGAAAGAGAGACCCACAGATGGGCTGCCTGAGAAGAGATGGATACATCCTTCATGGACCATCAGGTACCATTTGAATGGAGGGAGGGGAGAAAGAGACACAGAGGGGTCATGAGGCAAAGTGATGACCAAGAACTACTGTTCCCAAACAACATGGTCATCTAGACACTTGGCTTGGGAAAAGAAGGCACAAAGGTGCAGAAAGCTGCTAGACCACTAGTATCCACAGACATGGAATCTAGGGTTGTAAGAAAGCTCCAAGGTCACTTGATATAACCCATACTCAAGCAGGGATCCTCTCTATTACATCCTGGCAGATTTGCAAGTGTCTTGAAGACCTCCAGTGATAGGGAACTCATCACACCTCCTGAAGCAGCCCATTATGCTTTCAGACAGCTTTGATTTTTAGGAAGTTCTTTCTTTAAATGAACCCAAATCTTTCACTTTGCAGCTTACACACACTGCTCCTAGTTCTGTCCTGTTATGGAATGCCTCAGTGGCCCGGCCTGAATTGTAGCCATCAAGTGACTAACTCAAGTCAGAGTAAGAATGAAGCCAACTTGTTGGTTTGAAGGTTGACTGGATTACCGGACTCCAGCTCTTCTTCAAGAGCCTTATGATTGGGGAGAAAGCCTTCTATTAACCAATGATAGAAGTATGTATATCCCACTAAGTGCTAAACTGTGACCCCTACCCTACCCCTACCTTGTGACACTACACAAAATTCCCTTTGGAGGATACGATGGAGCCATAACCAGATGGGAAAGTAGCAGGAAATATACCCTTAATTCATTAGTGGGGGGGGTGAAGAAGGCACCTGGACACGGCAAAGCTGATGCTAAGGAAGTGGGTTTGGGATAAGCTCCCTGGGATGTAGCAGAATAGGGACTGAGGGGAAGAAGCAAGCCATCTCTTAACTTTTTAACTTCTCCCTAATCATTTTTGCTCCCTGGATAGCTCTAAGTTGATTCTTTTTTTTTTCTGAAGGTCCTCAAGTCCTATTAGTACTCTCTAACCTTGAGCACCATGCAACAGAGGCTTCCTTTGCCCAGCCCAAGGTATGAATGGCTCTGAATGCAGATCTGAAGGATTGCACTTTCTTATCAAGCACACATTTCTCCAGCTTCAAGCAGAAAGGTCTCCAGGTGCATCATTAACAGCTTGCTGAAATGCGGTTGTCATGTTGCAGAGCCTGAACAAAAATGACTACAGAGTCCAAGAGGCCAGATATTGCATGCCAAAGGCAGTTTTCAACTCATCTCTCCTTTGAATTCTTACTCAGTTGTAGGCCACACATAGGGCCAATTTGGTGGACCATCTTATGCTGATCAGCTGTCGTGATAGCTCCATGATGAGTAAGGAGGGCACTGGTTTGTCATAGGGATTTGGAAAAGTACCCTAAAACTGATATACAACCACAACACACCGTCCTTTCTAAGCAGACTTCTGGGGACATCTGGCCAGTACGGATGGGTGATTAAACTCCAATTTAGGTTGAAACAAAAATATTTTCTCAGGACCTCAAGCTCAGGTCCCCAAACTGAGTGACTATGGTCTCAAGAGCAGCTGGGCACCAGAGTGAAGGACTGATAGGGAGAAGTACGCTTGGCTTTGTTTGAAAATTTTAAATGACTTTTGGAGCTCCTGTTTTACATAAAAATAAGGTACTCTGTGCAATAGCCAAGACTGTTCTGAGGAAACAGGCTGCCCATTGCCTTGCTTTTTGGCCTTCTTAGGAGTGTTCTTTGCACCGTCTGTGGGTTTCCCAAATGGCAGGCACACAGCTTGGAAGGTGGTGAGGCTGCTGGAGAGGGTCCAGATGCTAGATCTAAAAGATGGCTGGGTCATAAGCCATCAGCCAAGATCCCTAAGAGTGTGGGGTCCAGGCAAGATGGAAGAACTGCTCGTGGCATTGCTGTGATCAGCAGGAGCACCTCTTCCTTGTCACAGGCTCCCTCTACTGGGACAAGAAAATCCTTGGAGTATTTGGAGAGTCTTAGGTTGGGTTCTCTCTCTCTCTCAAATGCATGTACATATATAGGCAAACTTCATTGTATGTGGAACAGGCAAGTTGGATATGGTTTTTTTTTTGTTGCCAACATCCAAAGCATCCTGGTCTGGGGCATCATAGACAGACATTGGCCCTCACTCTATGACAGATGAGTGTGTTGACTTTGGCCACACTGATGTCATACTGCTTGCTTGATGATTTAGTTGACTCTGACATCTATGATGAATACCAGGGCATTGCTGTCCTCAGTCTTCTTCATGGAAGGCTCAGTGGTCAAGGGTAATGATAACAGCAGACTGATCAAGCTAGTTTCTTCTATAGGCACTATTCCAAGGACATATGGGCTGTGATCAAAGCCAAAGTGTCTTGGGTCATTGGAAGATGGGAGATGTTTAGATTTTCTACTTTTTGTGACTATGTACCTTTCGACACTGCCTTCTTGACCTTCAAGGACTCTGACCTGGCTTCTGACTTGGGGCATGGGAGAACCATTTCTTTCTCTGCTTTAGGTGATATCTTGGGGTAATGGATCTCCCCAGGTGCTTCACACAGGCTTATAGCTCTAACACCCGCTCAAACCTCATCAGGCTTCACCTCCAAAAGGGTCTATCCAATCCATAGATTTTTGTGAACTCCTTGTCCATAAAGCTTGCCAATTCCTTGGAGCTACTCATAACTACCAGAGGCAGTGAATTCACTGATCAGGTTGCCATGGGGATGTCCAGGTGCTACTCTTAATAGAGCTTGCACAAGTGTAGGTGGGAGAATGTAAGCTCCTTGATGGCAAGAACTGTGACAGTGCCTGACACACAGTAGGCCCTTCATAAATATCAGCTGTTGGACCCAGCAATACTACTAGCAGGTTTGTAACCCAAAGGTATCAAAGAAAAGGGAAAAGGACCTATTTGTACAAATATATTTATAGCAACTTTTTTTTTTGAGGTGGCAAAGGATTAGAAATGGAGGGGATGCCCATAAATTGGGGAATGGATGAACAAGTTGTGGTATATGAATGTGATGGAATACTATTGTGCTATAAGAAATGATGAGCAGGATAGTTTCAGAAAAACCTGGGAAGATCTATATGAACTGACATGAAGTGAAACACAGGAAAACACTGTACGTGATAATAATAATATTGTAAAGATAATCAACTATGAAAGACCAAGACAATGCCTCACGACAATTCCAAAGGTCCATGATAAAAAATTGCTGTCTACGTCCAGAGACAGAACAGATGAACTCTGAATGCAAATGGAAGCATACTTTTTTTACTCTCTTTATTTTTATTGTTTTATTTTGTTTGCATTTTCTTTTGCAACATGGCTAATATGGAAATGTGTTTTGTATGAGTTCACATGTATAACTGATATGTTGCTTGCCTTCTCGAAGGGTGGGCAAGGGGAGAGATGGAGGGAAAGAATTTGAAACTCAAAATTTTAAAAAATGAGTGTTAAATTTTTTAAAAAATATAATTGGAAATATATAGTGAAATAAATAAAAATACATTTAAAAATATTGGCTGATGAATTGAAAGCAAGGAACTCTTGCAAGAGCAGTGCTTATTAGACCAAACTATTGAAGACTTTCCTTGCTGTCTAGAATACAGTGTTCCCTGTCACTGACACCTATTTCCATATCTGTAAGTTAGGCTCAGAGATCATCCACCACACCATGACAGGAGGGAGGAGAGTCGTGTCAGGTGGCCAGAAGTCTCCACTGTGGAGGCATCTGCCTGGCTTCTTTCAGGCTCATTCCATTAGTTCTTTCAGGTGACCTGCTTTGACAAGGTGGTAAAGTTGCTGTGTATCTCAGAAGTGGCTAGCTGCTTGAACCAGGAGAACTCATCCCTAGTATCTTAGGCCCTGATGGAAAACTGCATCATTATCCATTCCAGGCTGGCCACCAGAGAGAAACTAAGTGGTGCACTGAATATACCTGCCTGTACACAACACCCATATAGTTTGATTATGTCCTGGACAAAGTCATTAATATTATCAATCATGATGTCATCAGTTGCAAAGGAGAGATCCAAGTATCTGAGGGAAGGCTGTCCCCATTCATTAGGCATATGCAGATGTGTTCTCAAGGGTTGGTCTGAGGATCACTGAGAAAGAGAACTGCTGCTAATTCAAAGACCCCCATTGTTTGCTGGAGCAGATGTCATGCCCTGAGAGAGAAGACGCTGAGGCAAGATAGGGCAGAGGAGCAATAGAAGGACCAGGGAGGCTGAGGTTGGTGGACTGCTTGGGCTCAGGAGTTCTCAGCTGCAGTGGGCTAGGCCAACTGGATGTCCTTACCAAGTTCCCACACCAGGATGCTGAGCCACAGCGAGGCTCAGAAAGGAGGGCAAACTGGCCCAGGTCAGAATCAGAGAAGAGCAAAGCTCCTATGACCATCAGGAGAGGGTTTGAAGCCATGAGTGGTCACTATTTCCAGCCTACTTGAGCTCAGGAGACCCAGTCTCAAAATGGGGGCTGAGTAGGGCAGGTAGGGAGAAGGGTCAACAGTCAAAGATAAACAAGTAGGAGATGGAAAGTACAGACGAGTTAGAGGCTAAAGACCAGGTAGAAGGCATGGGCCAAGTCAGAAAGAGGGCAAGAGCCAGCACAGCACACCAGAGACCAGAGCACTTTGAAAGTGAGGCCAAGTCTTCTTCAGAGAAGAAGCCTCTCATCACAGCAAGAGCCAAGGAGTAACAACCTCGGCCACAGGCATCCCGGGATTGTTTGGCTCCAACAGCTGGCTCCACCGGCCCCAGAGCCTCAGCAGGTGCTGCTCCAGACTGCACCAACCCAGCCCAGTCCAGCCTCCCACAGCAGGAACCAAAGAGAAAGGCCAGAAATTTGGGGGGCATTACATGAATAGGCAATGATATTCTGGTGAAATGTAAACCAGCAGGAAAACACACTCCCTGCGCTCTTCCTAGCTCCCACTTGGGGCGCCTCCCACCCTGTTCCCTGTATCCTCTCATTACCTTGGCCTTCTTCATCTCCGCCACCTCAGCCTGAAGCTTCTTCAGCTCCCTCTCATAACGGGACTGGTTCTTGAGCAGCCGGGCGTGCTCCTTCTGGGCTGCCTGCAACTTCTGAAGGTCGCGATTCATCTCCCGTAGACGCTTCTCGTAGTCTGCCTTGATCTTGTTAGCCTTCTCCTCTGTGTAGCACTCCATGGTGCCTGGGACGGAAAAAGGTGCAGGGGCTGAGGCATCAGAACTAGAGCCAGGGGCTCGGGACAAAGGTGGGGTGGTGAAATGGAGGCGCGACAGACTCGTGGCTCTGTGCTGTTATTAACTTGCTGTGTGAACCGGCTGAAGTCAATCACTTCACCCCCCTACATACACATGTGTACACACACACAGATATGCACATGCACACATATACACACACATATATGCATGTACACACCTATGTACACACATGCACATACTCTATACCCTGCTGCCCACCTGCCCACACCCTGGTCTCTGCTCTCGAGTTTTAGTGTAGTTACCAATCTATATGTACCTCAACCCTCAGAAGCTATGATCAGTGCCTGTGGACTTGGCCCATTCTTGACAGAGCCCACCTAATACTACTCCACCCTCATCCCTATTTCCTGGTCCTCTCACATGGAGCCAGCTACCCGGAATCTGAGCATTCCAGGGACTATTCAATGTATTCTCCTCATGCCAGCACATGTTTAGGACGGTGCCTGGCACTTAGTAGATGCTTTTCTCAAATTGGACTAGACAGATAGTAAGGTACCCTTTGACTCCAGCAGCTTGGTGGCAGTGTGGATAGAGCCTTGTTAGACCTAGAGTCAGAAAGGCCCAAGTTCAAATCCGTTCTCAGACATTGATTAGCCATGTGACCCTGGGCAAGTCACTTAATGTCCATTTGCCTCAGTTTCTTCAACATAAAATGGGGTAACAACAGCACTTTCCTTGCAGGTTGTTGTGAGGATCAAATGAAACAGTGTTTGTAAGGCACTCAGTGCCTGGTACAAACTAAGTGTTTATCTTCCCTCCCTTTCCTTCACAGAGCTCCGTTTGGGATATGAAGAAAAGGGGGAAGGAACATCCTGGGGGAGCCCCCACTCCCCAGTCATTAGCTATGAGCTCCCTAACCTGAGGTGTTAGTGATGGCTAAAATGCACCTTCATGTGGCAAATAAGTGGGGGATGTGTGTGTGTGTGTGTGTGTGTGTGTGTGTGTGTGTGTGCTGGAGGGAGGAGGCTACAGTGTGAAAGGGAGGGCTGCAAGAAGAGAACGGGAATTGGGAGGACCAGAAATGAGCAAGAGGGAGCTGGAGAATAATCTAATGAAGGCAAAGAGAATGAATCGAAGGAGGGTGCATGGGATCTGGGAATCTGAAGAGAAATCCCCACTGATATGGAATAGAAGTTCCAGGGCTGGGCAGGTTTGCAGGCTGCAGATCAATCAGCTAATCAATAATCAATAAATACTGACCAGTGTCTACTATGTGCCAGGCATCGTTCTAAACATGTGCTGGCATGAGGAGAATATGTTGCCGAGTCCCTAGCATGCTCAGATTCTGGCTAGCTAGCTGGGTACATGTGAGAAGACCAGGAAATAGAGGCAAGGGTGGAGTAGTATTAGGTGGGCTCCATCCAGAAGAACGGGCCAAGTCCAGGGGCACTGGCTATAGCTCCTGAGCGTTGAGGTGCATACAGACTGGTAACTAGACTGACACTCCTTCAGGGAAAGGACCAGGGTGTGCGCAGGTGGGTGACAGCGTACAGGGGTATGTGTGTGTGTGGGTGCGTGTGCGTGTGTGTATTGTATTTATGTATGGGGGGTGTTGTATGTGAGTTTAAGTATGTATATATGTAAGTGTGTAAGTGTTTTTGTGTACAAGTGTGTGTATGTGTACAAGCACACTATAAAGTGTGAGCTTGTGTATGTGTATGTGTGTATTTGTGCACAAGAATGTTATATATGTATACTGTGGATGTATGTATAAGTGTTTATGCATATTGTTTAAGTATGTATATGGTGTGCATATGTGTGCATGTATGTAAGTGTGCGATGTGTGTGTACATGTGAAGGTGTGCGCATGCTCATCTGTGTACGCACTGAGGTTCTGGAGCACCCGGTCCCGCTCAAGCTGCGTGTCCCGGATTTTGTTCTGCAAAAGGATCAACTTCTCCTCGTACTGATGCTTCAGTGTCTGCAGTCGGCGCTGGCTGTTCTCCAGTTCATCAATCAGCTTCTGCTTGATCTCAATCTCACAGGTCAAGTCTGCCAGGTCGGCTTGGAAGTTCACCTCTGTAGGTGGAGGATGTGGGGGTATGGGGGTATGGGGAGGGGAGGGGAGAGACAGAAGAGAAGAGGGCAGCTGATTGGCTGTGGGACTCAGGAAAACCTGAGCTCAACTCTGGCCTCAGATATTTCCCGTCCATCTCAGTTTCTTCATCTGTAAAATGAGAATAATAGTAGCACCTACCTCCCAGAGTTGGTGTGAGGATGAAATGAGATATTTGCAAAAAGCTTTATAAATCCTAAAAGTGCTATATAAATGCTAGCTATTATTATTAGAAATGTACAACCCTTCCTAGGGTCAGCAATGAATGCTGAATAAGTGAGATCTTGATGGAAATAAGTTAATTCAAATGAGTGCTGTACTGTAGAACTCCTCTCTAATCTAACAGGGCAGATGTGGGCCTTAGGAACTGGGCTCATGCCTTTTCCTAGGGCCTGAAGTTAAGACTCTGTTCTAACCATACTCCATAACCAATGAGTCCAGCGCTGGGTCGCCATCTTCCAGGGATGTCAGGGAGGCTGGATGCTGAGAATGAGTCTGGGAGGACTCATTCTACAGGAAGTAGACTGGACACTCCTCTACTGTAATCATTAATTTTTAGCCTTGAACCTGAAGGGTTCTCTGAGGTAAAGGAGACCCAGAACAGATGCTCTGTCTGGGGTTGGGGAGCAGCGATTTGTGTGAAGAGAAGTCAATCTATTAGACAAATTTCCTCTTCCTCACCACTGTCTTTAGGACTAGGCAAGAACTCCCAGGAATTCACATAGGGGTGTGTGGGGTGGGACAGTGGGTGTTTGCTGGGAAGTGGTTTTTGTATCAAAAAGAAATAAAAAACAAATCCTATCCCTAGGTTGATGGCCTTGACCTTTGCTCTGGGTTGAGCAAAGTAATTACATTTAACTCAGTAAGTTTCTACCAAATTGTCCTAACTGGCCATATCCCCATCCCCCTTCTCCCTTTGCCAGCTACTCCCCCACCTCTGCCATGAAGATGATCCTGGGGTCTAGCTTTCCTTATACTAACTTAACATTGCATAAGGTCACCTGTGAAACTTCATTTAGGTCTAGTCATGGAAGCAATAGGTTTAAATCCTACTCCTGACATCTACCTTTGAGACAGCTGGGGGAATAGTAGATAGAGTGCTAGACCTGGAGTCAGGAAGACCCGAGTTCAAATCCTGTGTCTGACACTAGTTGGGGGTCCCTGGGCAAGTAACTTCCTCTCTCTCAGATTCAGTTGCCTCATCGGTAAAATGAGGGGGCTGTACCTTAGAAGGTCCCTTTCACCTCCAAATCTATGATCTATGATCGTGCTGATGGGTCTAGCCACCACAAGTTTCTCCCCACTTCAGGCTATCCTCTACTCAGCCACCAAAACTATGTTTCTAAAATGTAGGTTTGACCATGTCACCCCCTCTCTCAATAAACTCCAGTGTCTTCCTAGCGCCTTCAGGATCAAATACAAAATCCTGTTTGGCATTCAAAGCCCATCATAATGTAGGGACACCCTCTCCCCAACCAGGCACATAGTAGGTGCTTAATAAATGCTTACCGACTGGCTGATCATGGTCCTCACCTGCAAGGCCAGGTATGGCTCTCTACCTCATTTCCTCTTGAGAGAAAGGAAGACTCCAGGGTAGCATGAGGGGTTTTCAGCCTTCACTTTCAGGAATTGGAAGGCTGAGCTTCCCCTCTTGCCATGTCCAAGCACCAGTGGCCTCTGAAGGCCCTTGCAGTTCTAAATCTATAATCTCTTCATTCTTCCCACAGTCCTTCCTATGTCTAGCCCTGAAGGGTCAACTCACCCTTCTCCTCAGGATCTGAATCTGAGTCCACGAGGCTCTCCTCACTGCCCGAATCTTCATCTTCATCTTCCCGGCCTTCCTCTTCCTCACAACCACTTTCATCCCGATCCTCCTCTTCCTCCTGGGCATCGAGCACCATGATGGGGCCCTCCCCAGCTGTTTGTTCCTCCCGAGGGTCAGGAAACCCCCCACAAAGGTGGGGTGAGTTCCCATGGGGCCAGACCATGAAGGGAGCAGTCCCAGGATCGAGGGATGGGAGTATGTTCATGTGTGTCTACATACATGCATGCATACATAAACACATGCATACATACGTACATGGAGGGCAGTCAGTAGGGAAATAAGGTGGAAAGGGTGGACACACAGCACTGCAACTGGAACCCTGTGACCCCTCCCTGTCCTAAAAAACCGCAGCTGTCTCCATGGCGCATGGGCCCTTTATGCACATATGAAGTCCCTTCTTTGGGGGTGAGATTGGGGTAGGGGGCAAATACATCAACCTGGTAACGAACCAGCCCATCACTGGAGGTAACAGTGAGTCTAACTCAAGGAGCGGAGAGTTATTTGGCTCTGAGTGGGGCAGGGGAATATTGTGGGCACTTTCATCGATGGCCTTCCTCCACCCCTTCTTAACGAGGCTGATGCCTCGGTGAATCCTAGGCAGGGTCACAAGTCAAAGTGTACATGGGAAGGGACTGGCCCTTACCTCCTCAGCCTCGTTCTCATCTGTCTCTTCTCCATTCTCTTGATGTAACTTTGCCCTCTTTTTAAATGCCTCCTTCTCTGGGCTGTCCACAGGAGGAAGATGAGGGTAGGGTCAGGTTAGTAGAGTCAGCCTCACAGAATCCTAGGTTAAGAGCTAGAAGGGGTCCCAGAGGCCATTTCATCCAATCTCCCCGTTATAGCTGAGGAGAGTGAAACTAGAGATATTAAATAACTCGCCCATAGTAACATAACTAGTCTAATACTGGAGATGAGATTTGAACCCAGTTCTTTCTAGCTCCAGGTACAGCACTGTGTCTGTCACTCCACGCTTCTGCGCTGGGGGTGGGGTGGGGTCAGAGTGAAGAAAGGAGGTGGGGAATGAAAAGGAAAACATCCCCACCTGAGGTTGGGAGATGGGATGACGTCACCCTAAAGAGTAGGGGACATGGTGGTGAGGTGAGCCAGCAATCTCCTCTACTTCCCAGCTGTGCTGGCTTTTAAACTTTAACCCAAATAGCCCAAAATAGACTTTAATTATTCTCTGTTTTCCTCCACGCCAAAGATCATGAGACAAGGTGAGGCAACCTTTGCCCACAAGTGGTTGACTAACTACCCAAGATAGCAGGCCACTGGAAAGAGATTTCTGGTGCCACTGTGCATGATGTCACTAGGGAGTTGGCCTGGGGTGGTACAGAGATGGAGCTTGGTAACTAGCTTCTACTAGTCTCTCTCTCCTTAGACCCTGATCCCAGAAGGGGTGGATGTCTCAAGAGGAGGAAGTCCCACCCCTATGAGGGAACTGACCCCATCCCCATCTTCCACCTACCCCTCACCTCCCACCAATGATATTGTCAGATAGTGTATGGGGGCTTCTCTCTTTCACCTTTTTCTCCGTTGCCTGGTCTCCTTTTTCTTTAGCCGTTCCAGGTCTTGCTTGGCCTTGCGAATCACCTCTGAGGCCTCTGTTTCCATGGAAATTGATGGGCTGCTCAGCAAACTTCCCTGGGCTTGGGAACCACTCATGGAGTAGGAGGGCCGCCCTGAGGTCCGTGAGAGTGTGCGGCGGAGAGACTCGTTCATTGCTTCACTCTCTAGAAGCTTTGTTCTGAAGTGGAAGAGAGGGTGGAGAAATGAGGTCATCCAGAAGTGTTGTCTCCTAGCCCTACCACTGCCAGAGTCCCAGACCAGCCACCCTGGGTCTTCCCCATCCCTGGTGCTCACCGAAGTTCTTCAATCTCTCGGATATAGTTCTGGATTAAAGTACCAATGGCCTCATTGCCATCTCCTGGTGGGGAACAAAAAAAGAGATATCTGTCTCATGATAATGGTAACAATCCCAGCAACAATAACACTGTGCGATAGGTCACTGTTATTTAACATACGTTGTGGCGCCTAAGAGAAAAGGCAAATTTTGGCAATTCATCCAGAGATGGGCTAAGTGGGCCAAGACTCAACTAGGGCAGATATAGTGACATTATATGCCTCTACTATAGAAACAGGGAAAGAAGCAGAAGGGAAGGTTGCTGTAGGAGAGAGGAAAGCCTTCAGCTGCCATATGCCAGCTGCTCCTAGAAACAAAGAATAAGACGAGGTGAATCTCAAAGAATCGGATGAGGTGAAATGGTTCCCTGAAAGCCACAAAGAACATGGGACTTAACCACTGGGACCACAGCTGTTGTTAGCAGAGAAAATATTGAAATAGGGTCATGAAGTAGTGAAATGCCCAAAGGAATCTATGGATGGGATCATTAAAAGTTAAGAAGCAACTTGATATACCTTAGATGGTTTTTTTCCTTTCCATTCTTTGTTCTATTTGGTGATATACAACTTATTTACTTATATCTAAAGAAGAACTAATAATTTGTTTTGCTGTAAGTGAGTGCTTGCCTCCCCCCTTCTTAAAGGCTGGTAAATGTAGGCCTAGCATATACCTGAGGGCCTTAGGTTTCCATGCCTAAAGCTACTCACACCCAGAAAGTTGTGATTGCCAAGCTGTCCGAGGAGGGGGAAAGGCATTGCTGCTCACACAGTAACAGCGACCAGAAATGAAAGAAAGTATGGTCCAGAGGAGGAAATAAATAGACTTTTCTGGATGAAGCTAATCAGTAAGAATCAGGTCATCAACAAGTCAACAAGCATTTATCAAGCACCTACTGGATGCCAGGCGCTGCTAGGCACTGGAGACAGAAAGAAAGGAAAAAACAAAACAAAACAAAAAAATCCCAGCAAGTCCAGGCTTGATTATGAGGAAAGTCACCACTGTATTCTTCCCCAGTCGCAGTAGATCTAAGATTGGCACTGCCCTTTGTCTAATCAGAATGATGACTCCGCTGAAGGCCAGACCGTTGGAGGAGCACTTGCACAAACACTGGCTGTCCAGCTGTCAGGGGTATATGGTAAAGGAGATCCTTTCTCAGGTGTAGATAACTTAGACTCAGTGGCCTCTGAGGTCTCTTCCAAACCTGATCCTTTGTAACTCTGTTTAGCCCGAAGGAAGAAAAGACTGAAGAGGAATGTGATCACTGTCCCCAAGGACGTGAAAGGCTGCTAAATGGGAAGGGGCCTGGATTTGTTCTACTTGGACCTGAGGGAGGGCAGGGAGAGGGGGCCAGAACAAGGGACAGTGGGCAGAGGTTGCGCAGTGACACAGGGAGGGAAAACTTCTTAAGAATAAGCGCTGTCCCAGAGTGGACTGGGCTGCCTGACGAGGTGGGGGCTCCCCTCATTAGAGGTCTGCAAGCAAAGCCTGGATGACCACTTATCGGGGATTCTAGAGAAGGGATTCCTGCCCAGGTATGGGCGGATGACGGCCACAGGCATCCTCTGAGAGCCTTCTGCCTCTAAGAAACAGTGCCAAGCTTAAGTCATCTCATCCAATGGGACCCAGTGGGACCCAGGTAGTCATGTCAATGCCGTCTGGAACTTTATAAAGCACTTTAACAAACATTATCTTGTTTGATTCTCAGAACAACCCAGTGAGACCCGTGGGATGGAAGTCAGTATCTCCATTTTACAAAATGAAGACACAAACACTGAATAGCTGAGTGACTTGTCCAAGGTTGTACAGCTGATTGGGAAGAGAAATGGGACTGGAGCCCAAGGTCTCTCGCTCCTCAGCGCTTTGCCTGCCTTATGTTGTAGGTCTGGTCTGGGTGGCTAAACACATGGTGCACAGGCACCTACGTTCCTATCCAATCCATTGAACAACCTAGTAAGGATACATCAGGCATCGTGCTACATGCTGGGGATAAAAAACCAACAACAAAGTCATATATACATAAGGTGGTATATGTATATATACACATATTCTCTCCCTGCTCAAATTATATATAACATACAAAATTATATATACAATTACATGTATATAATGTATAAAGCATGTGTTTTGCATGTGTATATACACATATACACAATACATACACATATATGTGTGTATATGTGTACACACACACACACACACACACACACACACACACACAATTTGAGCCCAGAAAGAATGTTAAGAATTAAGGGGATCTCATAGGAGTTGACACAAGCTGATTCTTGAATCCTAGGGAAGGAGAAAGGGGGAGGTGAGGGGAATGTACCTCAAGCATGGGGGAGAACATGTGAAAAGAAGGTTCTATGGCAGAAGATGGGGTGTTGAGATTGGGGGAAAGAAAGGAGATTTGGTTGGAAGAGAGAATGTATAAAGAAGAAGCATATGAAATAAGCCTGAATGGTAAGCTGGAGCCAGACTATGGGAAGTCGGAGGTTCTCAGAGTCTTCCAAGGGCTAGGCAATGGGCATTAGAATTTTGTCACCAAGGGTGGTGACCAGGAATGTTTTCACTGTTTAGGACAGATGAACCTGCTGCTGCAGGGGCAGACAGAGGAAAGAACAGGGGATCTAAGTGCTTTCTGATAGACAGTGCCAACTGGGAACGGGAAAGTCTCTCCAACCATTGAGCCAACAAGCACCGACCATGTTCTGAGCACAGGGGGAGGTACTGGGGATGCAAAGACCAAAAGGGAAGGCGTCTCTGTTTACATCCTCCCATGGCAGAAGACAAGTGCATCTAGAAGTAGAAGGATAATAAATACTCAGTGGCTAGGGAGGACGGGTGGGCAGCAGCAGTGTCCTCCTCCTCCAGCTCAGTCCACTTCCCCTGTACTCACCAGCCTTAGCGAGGAGCAGGTTGGCCTCCTGGCTCATGAGGTGGGTGACTCGGTTGTTGATGGCGTCGATGGCTTCCTGCATGGCTTTCACCCGCATTCTCAGGGTGCCATTCTCTTTCTGCAGCATGGCATTCTCCCGGAACAGGTCACTGTAGCCCTCTGAGCCATCCTCCCCAATCACTCGCTTACCCTAGGAGGAGGAGGAGGGCGGATAGGAAGGGGTCGGCATCTGGCTCATCACTCTCACTTGAACTACTGCTCTTTTTTCCTAAACAGCCTCCTTGACCACCACTGTCAGATTAACCTACTTAAAATCTAGTTCTAACCATATTATTTCCCTTTTTTAAAAACTGAAAAATTGCACAGAAAAGGACAGAAGGCAGTTGAGAGGTCAACAGAGACAAGTGGGCAGCTTTGGGAACTAACATGCCACATTTAGCACATATTTTTAAAAGAAAAAAACCCAGCTGTACACAGTGAGATTTGAGGTTTCATACACAGACACATGTTCTTTGAACATAGAAATATTTAGGTTTGTCAAATTCAAAACAACAAAAAATTTAAAAAATTTTTAAAAAAATACCTTCTTTGGCTTCTTATTAGGGGCCTACCTATAGTGCATAGAGTGCCAGGCCTGGAGTGAGGAAGACTCATCTTCCTGAGTTCAGATCCAGCCCCAGACACTTACATACTGTGTGATTCGGGCAAGTTACTTAACCCTGTTTGCCTCATCTGTAAAATGAGCTGGAGAAGGAAATGGCAAACTGCTCTAGCATCTTTGCTAAGAAAACCCCAAATGGGGTCACAAAGAGTCAGACACAGCTGATTGAAATGACTGAACAATATGGCTCCTTATAGCCTATCCAAAAAAAAAAAAAGTCCAAATTCCTTATCCCGGTATTCAAGGCTTCTTAGAAGCCGGCTCTTTTCCCTTTCCAGCCCTTATCTCCTATTAATCCTCTACAAACCCTTGACACCCCCGTCAAACTGGACTCCCCATCTCACGTGTCCATTCTATTCCCTCTTCATGAAATGTCTGGTAACCCCGACCTACCTTTGTCCCTCATGCATCTCCATCTATCAAAGTCTGACCCATCTTTTTTTTTTTTGGCAGTTGGGGTTAAGTGATTTGCCCAGGGTCACACAGCTAGTGTGTTTGGTGTTAGTTAGTGTCTGGTCTGAGGTCTTATTTGAACTAGGTCCTCCTGACTTCAGGGCCTGTGCCACCTAGTTGTGTGCCCCACCCCCCCATCTTTTAACACCCACTCTAATTCTGCCTTCTATATGTAACCTTCTGGCCTGCCCCAACCCCAAGGGCCTCTCTGGCCTCTGGACTCATACGGCATGGTGTACTCAGAACACTGGTCACATAGACTGGGGTGGCTTTCCTGCATATCTTATATCTCCTACATACTGTAAGCTCCTGGGGGGCAGAGGCCATGTGTTGTTAATCTTTGGGTACTGCCCTACTCCAACATTGTAACTTGCTTCCACATAATAGGCATACAACAAATATTTGATGAATGAAGTTTCATCAAAAGTGAAGAGGAAGCTGAAAAGTCAGAGGGTGAAACTGGTCCCCAGCAGACCACTCCTTGGGATGAAAGCAGAACCACAGACAGCAGGATGATACAGCCTGAGTAGCTAGTTATGGGCACTGCTAAGCTAAATGCTCAGGGCCCAGTTTAGAGAAGATGGGCTCATTCTACTCTCTAGGCAAAGAGCACCCCCTCACTCACCGCCTTGTACTCCATCAACTCCATTTGCAGGCGGGCAATCTCAGCCCGAAGGGCACTGATCTGCTGGCTGGTCTTATCTTGGTTCACAACCACCTTGTTCTTGATGTTGCGGGCCCGGTTGGCATACTTGAGGGTGTTCAGGGTCTCCATAAAGTCCCGGTCCGAAGGGCTCACACAAGCAATCATAATTGTCTGGCTGGTAGGGACGGAGAAGAGATGGGGCAGAGACAGACACCCCCAAAAGAAACATCACATTGGAGCTAAGTCCTGTCCTCTCCCAATGCCCCCTTAGGGCCACCTGGCCCAAACTCCAAGATGAGATGACCTTGAGATTTCTGTTCCAACAGTATATGATTACAATTTACTTAGCTAATAGGGTCAGAGCTGTTTTAGCTCATTGCATTTCAGAAATTAGTCTAGTAAATAAATAATAGTAAGACCTTATATTTCCAGTCTTAACATCTTATTTTAGCTTTACAAACTCCCTATGAGCTAAAAAAGGGAAAGGATCTATTCTCTCCATTGTACACACACAATGAGGCAGCTTAGCAGTGTGGGAAATAGAACAAAGACTTGGTGTCAGGAAGAATTGAGTTTGAATCCTGCTTCAGACAGGTACTAGCTGCATAAGCCTGGGCATGTCATTGAATTTTGCGATGCTTCAGTTTACTGTTCTGTTAAATGGGAATGATAATAGCATCTACCTCACAGGGTTGTTGTAAAGCCCAAATGTGATGATATATATGTAAAGTGCTTTGTAAATCTTAAAGCACTATATCAACGTTAGCTATAATTACTAATAGGTAATAATGATGATGATGATGGTGGTAATATGCATGGGAAAACTGATACTTGGTCAAAATAAATAACTAGTCCGAGATCATTGAACATCCTGGTTTTCTCACTCCCAGCCTAGGGCTCTTCATATCAAATCATGCTCAATACAACCAGGTGTACTGAATGGGAGCTGGCAGTTAGTGGGCACAGTAACCCTCTCCCCAAAAGTGATTGCTCTGGTTACCTGTTACCCCCGAGGGAGTCCTGGAGGAGCCGGGTGAGCTTGGAGTCCCGGTATGGCACATGTACCACCTTCTTACTCTGGTCTCCCAGGGCACTGATCACATTACCCAAGGCCAGCTGCAAGAAAGAGACCCTGGCCTTCAGCAAGGTCCCCATGGAGCCATGTCCCCTAGAATTTCCACCATCTTCACTGTCCTCAGCTACTCCCAAGCTCCAAGACTGGGGGACAGCCTAGGCATCATTACTCTATTAAAGTCAAAGTCAGAGAAAAGGACCACACAGAAATAGACATAGGAGAAGTGGAACACAGACAGAAACATGGTGTGAGGGAAGGAGTTAAAGGTTCAGATCCTGCTCTAGGTGAAAGGAAGAGCCTCTTTGCTAGATGGGGTAAGAGGTTCCATACCAGGCCACAGTTGATAGAGATGCCCTCTTTGGCCCTCTCGCCCGTGGCCCCCGTCCGTTTCAGCCGTTCGGAGCCTGCCAGATCGACGAAATGAAACTTGGCCGTGAGCGTCTCATACTCGTTGGTGGGGGCAGCACCATCGGGAAGGCCAGGTACCTCACCATTTACCTGTGGGAAAAGTGAGCATTGCTGAAAACCCCAATCCCCCCACCTCCACGCACCATGGGCCGAGGCTCCCTGGGATGTCTGGACTTAGCAAGTCCAGAGGGACAGAGGACAAAACACCAAAGTGGGGCATGTGGTCAATAAGGCTGTAAGGTCATAGATTTGGAGTAATAAGAGGCCTCAGAGATCATTTCATCCACCTCTTTTACAAAGGAGGAAACTGGAGCTCCGCAAAGTTAAGTGATTTGCCCAAGGTCACACAGATAGGTCTCCTGACTCCAAATCCAGTATGCTTTCCCTGGGACTTTTAGAAGCACCAGACTGGTTCTCCCCACAGCTAGTCCCCTCAGCCTACTCCTTCTGCCTCTGCCGAGGCTGCTCACCAGGTCAGGCCGGGCACAGACACGCATCTGGCACAGGTGGATGGTGAAGATGGCATGAGAGCGGGAGCTCTGCACATTCATCTGTGTGCTGGCTGTGGTCCGGGACAGAGCCCCCTGCTTCAAACACTGGATCAGCTGCAGAGAGAGGGGACAGGCTGTCTAGGGCAGTAGGGGGCCCTCCCACGGAGCTATGTCACTAAAGCAGATGCACAACTGTCCACAAGCAGAGGTGCTTTGTATAATGCCCCCTGTATTTATATTCTTATGCCAATCAGACATCCCCAGGAGCACTGATGCCTTGTATCTCACTCCCTTCTAGCAACTAATAAAAACAGCTAGCATTTATGTGGGCTTCAAGGTTTGCAGAACACTTTACAAATATTATCTCAATGGGTTCTCACAGCCTGGGAAGTAGGTACTATTTTACAGATGAGGAAACTGAGGCAGACAGAGTAAATGATTTGCCCAGGGTAACATAGCCAGTAAGCATCCAGGGCTAGATCTGAACTCAAGTCTTTCTGACACAGACCCAGTGCTCTCTCCATTGTGATACTGAGCTGCCTCTCCTCAGTAAACTCCCACCTCGTCCTGGGAACTGATGAGACGGGAGGTGACGCCTGTGGTGTAGATGCCTCCATTGGCGTCTTCATGGATCTTGATGTTGGATTTTCGGTGGCGGGAGTCAGGATCTCGCGTGCTATCAAACAGGTCTAGAATCTCCTCGTTGTAAAGCTGGACATAAGAGTCAGAGTGGAAGAGGAGGCAATAGTGGTCAACATAGATCAATGGAAGATGCAATGACCCCTCCCACTCCGACTTTTCTCTCTCCTAAAACTGTGTACTCATCTAGTAGGGTCTCAAGGCCCTACTGAGGCAGGGGTCCCAAAAGGACCAAAGGGCTGAGAATCCAGAGGCCTTAAAACAGGCCCCTTTTAGGTTATACAATAGGGTGGGATGTCCAACTCAAACTGAGCCAGTCAAGATGGCAGACCACTAGGTGGGGCTGATTATGTGGAAAAGAACTTGGCAGTCATGGGAAGACCTATTTAGACTGATGCAAAGTGAAGCAAGTAGGACCAGAAGAACTATACATACATACATATACATACATAAATACATATACATATACACATACATATACATATACATATACATATACATATACATATACATATACATATACATATACATATACATACATATACATATACATGTACATATACATATACATATATATCTACGTATCTATATAGGCCTATAAAGATGTAAATGGAAAGAACCATCATAAAACAATCGAATCTGAAAGCTGGGGAATGATAAGGACCAAGCTAGGGCCCCAAGAAAACGTATACACTTCTGTGTAGAGGTGGGTAACTATCAGTGGGGGCGTTATATGAAACTTTATATGCTAGTTCTGCTGAGCGGTCGTGTTCTCCTCTTTTTTTATTCTCGGTTTAAGGGACAGCTCTAGAGGAAGGGAAGAGAGGAGGGATACACTTAGTAACAGAGGTGATATAAAAACAAAAGATATCAATAAAATTTTATTTTTAAAAAATTTAGCATTCACTCTACCCATCCCTTCAATCTCTGGGGTAAAAGCTCAGATACACTTTGAGCACATTTGGACATGTTGTCTCCTTCTTCACATGGACCCGACTGGAGGATAGGAGTGGAAATTAGAGCTAGGAGAAATCAGGGTTTACTTTGTGTGGCAACAGGCTGAAGAGATGACCACTGGCCTGACCTCCTGGGTATGTGTCTGCTTCTTTGTAGGGGTCCTATATTGTCCTGCTTTCTAGGGAAGTTCAGCTCAGCTTGGACGATTCCCTAAATCTCAGGGTAAGCTCTTTTTTTTTCTTTTAGGCAATTGGGGTTAAGTGACTTGCCCAGGGTCACACAGCTAGTACATGTCAAGTGGTTGATCTGAGGCTGGATTTGAACTCAGGTCATCCTGACTTCAGGGCTGGTGCTCTATCCATTGCGCCACCTAGCTGCCCCGTAAGCTCTTTTTTATATTCACCACCAGAGAAAGTGCCACCTGCTAAGGGGCAGGGACATTCCCCAACGAGGATGTGGGAGCCAGGAGCCCAGAAGGCAGACAGGTGAGCCTTAGAGGAGAGGGAGAATGAGAAAGGACACAGCTGAGGGCTGCAGACACTGGGTTCCTGCCTCTGGAAACTCTGATAGCCTGGACATCCGAGGCTTTGATGCTCCTCAAAGGGATGGAAATATCAAGGCAGGAAAGGGAAGAGGAACAGGAAAGGACTGACTGGGATCTGGGTGCCACGAATGCCCCCATCCTCCCAAGTCTGTCTGTCCTATAAACAGACTGGACTCGTGTAACCCTTTCCACCCCAACGGCAGCATCCCGACCAGTGGCTCTGTCCTTGGCACAGCCTTCCCAGGTGGCTGCTGGTTCCCCTCCCTCTGGACATTTCCCTGGCAACAGGGCTGGAGAAGGAAAAGCAAAGAGAGGAGAAACAAAAGACAAACCCACTGAATCTGAAAAGGAGCCTGAAGTCCCTGAAGGGCAAAGCAGCCACACTCTTGTCTAAGGACACCTAGGAGACAGGAGCAGACCCAGGAGAGAGCAATTAACCAGCAGCCCCCCAGGGAGAAGGACCAAAGGCGGCAGGGTTGTTTTCCTGCTCTGGTTTCCCTAGCTTTCTGTTCCTCTCTCAGACTGAAATGCAAGCGGAGCCAGAGCTGGAGGGAGGGTTTGCAGGGTTCAAACCCTGTCTCTGGTGGGGAGGGAAGGAGGGAAGCTGTGTCTGTGGGTGGGGCTTTCTAGAAGGTCAGGTGGGGGGGAGGAGTAGAAGGGGGCCTCCTAAGCCTTTCTCTCCCATTCAGGGCGAAGCACAGGCTCAGAGTCCAAAGAGACCCAGGCAATCATCTAAACCAGAGGTGTCAACTCCAGGGCCCCAGCACCATCCCCAGGGAGGCCAGAACCAGACTAAAATGTAGCGGGGAAATATTTAACAAAAGAAATAAAAATATAATAGGACATGGAAATATTGACATTACTAAATCAATATGTGGCCCCCTGAGATTCTTATCTATGGTTGACTGCTCCCGGTTTCTATTTGAATTTGACCTGGCTGATGTAAGCCAATTTCCTCCTGGACTTTTACAGATAAGGAAACTGAGACCAGAGAAGTTTCAGCGACTAGTGTAAGGCCCTACCGATCTATGTAAAAACAGCAAATGAGCCTAGATCAACCCTTCTAGGCCCCCCTAGGGTATCCCAATCTTTCTGATTGGGGAGGACTACAGGGGGTCCTGAGGTTTCTTGTGGGAATTACTCAACAGTGCCATACATACATTCCATCTCCACCAGGAAACTGATGGATTGCTTCCTATCCGGAATAATCTGCCTTCTTCAGGCCAGGATGAGGTGGACAGAGAATAAAATATCTAGGCAGGAAAAGGTCAGGAAGGGCACCTGCTGTCAGGAGATTAAAGAAGTCTGGTTCTAGAAAATTGGGGAATTCCCCATGTTAGATCTAGGAAGGAAGATAAGCAAGGGGCCAAAAAGTGAAGGGATAATAGAAGTCAGATCTAGGGAAGCTGAGGCAGAATAACCAAGTGGCCAAAAAGCTAAGGGACAATAGAAGTCAGATCTAGGGAAAATGAGGCAGAATAACCAAGTGGCCAAAAAGCTAAGGGACAATAGAAGTCAGATCTAGGGAAACTGAGGCAGAATAACCAAGTGGCCAAAAGCTAAGGGACAACAAAAGGGGAGCCCAGGCCTTCAGCCACTTGGGAGCTGACTGCATTCTTCCTGTGATAAGCGGGATTCCCTCCTTTCAAGTAGAGCCTGCCCGAGTCAGTCCCTGCACCATAGGGCATCCCATGAAAGAAGAGGGTATTGATTTTGCTCATAATATTGATTTTTGCTCATAATATTAAAAGCTGATGTTTCAATATTGCTTTATGCTTTCTTCACTACAGCCCCATGAGGTAGGCAGTATAGGTGTTGCTGTTGCCCATTTTACAGATGAGGAAAACAGTCTTGGAGAGGTTAAATGACTTGCTCTCTTCTGTGAAGAGGATGGGATGTTGGTTTTCACCCACCGAGATCACATAATCTGTTTTTTTGACTTCTGGGAGATCTGGGCTGTGATTCAAATTCCCCACTTTCACTATTCCCCTATATCTTAAATACTAGGTATCTTCAAAGACCTCAAATGGAAGCTCAGTGGAGAAAAAAAGAGGTGTCGTGGGAGAGTCAGGACTCGAACTCATAACCCCCAACTCCTCAGTCTAAGATTTGCCAAGATTTAGCTTCCTGGTCTGATGAGCAAAGCCCCTGGGCTGGTAGTTCTGACCCAGACTAGCACTAGCTTTAGTTCCCTCATTCATTGGAAGTTTATGGCCCAGAGGGAACAGAAGACGAGGACGTTGGATCCAAAGCATCTTTCTGGCCTCCCAGGCTCATCCTGAGCCTAGGCAAAGTGCTCCTCAGGGTCAATGACTCCAGGCAACAGGTCTGCTTGCTGGCCTGTGTCCGGCAACCCCCATCCCCATTCTTCCCTCAGTCCTAGCTGGGAGAACCAATCTTCCCTCCCCCAACAAGAACTGCAGCCATCCAAATACATCTCACAAGCCATTAAAGTCAGGTGTTGGCCATCCTTGAGCCCCCAAAAGATGTGGTAGGACACCTTGCCAGAGCAGGCCAGGCCCACACTCAGAAATCCAGGCAGGTATCCAGGCTCAGGCCTTGAGAGAACATGGCCTATCGGTCCTCTGGAGGGTGACAGGATCACAGAATTAGAGCTAGAATTTACGGGCCATTTTGGCCCACTTCCCCCTCACCCCCACCTTACAAATGAAGGGCTGAGACATCAAGTGATTTACCCAAAGTCCCCCATGGTATACATAGAATGATCAGGATTTGAACCAAGGTACTTGGACTCCAAACCCTGAGTTCCTTCCACTGGACCACAGCGCCTCCTAAAATAAGGGAGCCAGACCCTACCCAGCTCTATGTCCTCTCTTCATTTCCCTGGCCATACCTCCAGAAACTGTGCGCTGACTTTGAACTCCGGCCCAGGCACTCCCTGTTCCTGGGCCTGTCTCTTGCGGTCGTCAATGCCTCTGAAGAGGTGGCTTATAGCCCTCGGGATGATACCATGCTCCTCCTCTGAGGTACTCATGTCAAAACCGGTCCCCATGGTGTACGTCTTCCCAGCTCCTGTCTGTGAAGGGAGAGATGGGACAAGACAATGAGTTTTCAGGAGGAACCGGGGCTGGTGGAGAGAATTTCGGATACCTTCCCAGCCTCAACTATCACACAGCCCCTTCTTCTCTGTTCACCATGGCTCCCCTCTCCTTGAAGACCTTCATCTCTCCCAGAAAGACTTTCTCAATTGACTTCACACCCTCCAGAGAATTCCTTTCACTCTGGCATAATCCCGTATAACTTCGAGGCACTTGTTAACAAGATTCATTGTCTTATGTGTCTCTCATCTAACTAGGAGCTGACTTGGGCAGGGAGGGAGCCCTTACCTGTCCGTAGGCCAGCACTGTGGCATTGTAGCCCTCAAAGCAGCCCTCGATGAGCTTGCCCACACAAGCTGTGTAGATTTGCTCTTGCCAGGTATCCAGGTCAAAGACAAAGTCATAGGTGAAGGCCTTGTCCTTCCCCAGCAGCACCTGGGGCTCTCCAGGAGTGACTGAGGTACAGATGTGACAGCCCTCAATCTTCTCCTTGGATAGCTGGGGCCGGATCCTGCTCAGGGAGAGAGAGAAAGGGGGAGAGGGAGAGAGGGAGGGAGAGAGAGAGAGAGAGAGAGAGAGAGAGAGAGAGAGAGAGAGAGAGAAGAGAGAGAGAGAGAGAATGAATCAGTCCTGGTCAGGGTTCTAACCTGGAAATAAGGAAGTATGCCTTGGGTTCCTTTTCCCTCCAAACTTTCTTAGAACTAACATGTCCCTCATCTCATAGGTTCAAGAAAGGAGAGGAGAGGAATCTACTGAGTAAGGCCAACACTCTAAGAAGGGAAGCAGGGAAGAAATTCCAGTCTCTAGTAGGTTACGGTACTAGGATAGGAACAGCCATTAAGGCCAAGAGGCATTAGCATCTATCTGTCTATCAAGCTTCTCAGCTGCATTTCACTTCCTGCAGGCATCAAATGTTCCTTCTTTCCCAGAAGGGCTCAGCCCAGGTCCATGGAGCTGGTGGGACTTTTTGAGGCACAAGCCCTGGGAGACAGCCAGGTATCACAGAGCCCCATCTCTGGAAGGAGAGATGGGCCAAGGATAGGGATAGTGCTATGAGCCAGAAAATGTTCAAGGAGTCCCAGGGAAGGTCAGGGTCCTCCAAAAAGGACCACAGGTCAGACATACAAAGCTGGGCCCAAGTCCAAGGGGTTAGCAGCATGAGCCCTAAAGCAAGGGGATGGAATGGGGAAACAAGCATCCATCTGGCATGAGCAGGGAGAGCCATGGACAGGGCTTTCTCCTCCCAAGTCCTACTCCCTCCCCCTGCCCTGGCACCAAAGCAGCTGGCACCATGGTAAGATCCCCATGGCAACTGAGTGCCTGCCAGGGTATCTGGGGGTGGGTAAGAGGAAGCACTCCCCTCCCTCCCAAATGAATCAGAGAGGGGGGCGAATTGGGCTCTGCCACCCATCAGCTTTGCCTGCTCTGGTCCCTCACAATGACCTGCCTGTCAGGCTTCCTCATCCTAAGCCAACATTTATCAAGATGAAAAGACTGAGAGAGGGACCAGAGTAGGAGCCCAGCAGAGCCTGGAAGACAAGCCAGCAGCTCTCTTCTCTCTGACCCAGGACCTTTGTGGTTCTAAAGTCTTGCAGGGTAGAGTAGGATGGTGGAGGGGTGGCGGGAGGTGAAGAGGGGTGGGCTGGGCTCAGAAGGAAAAGGAGCTTACCAGGAACCACATTAGGGAAGGGGGTGCCTAGTGGTTACAATAACAAGACCACCACCCTGGCTATTCCAGATCCATTCACACCCAACTGGGAAGAATAAAATGATTCTTATCAACAAGTAAGCTGAACAAACATGAAGAGAAGACAGCAGTATGAATTACAGGGACTTTTCTCCAAAGGACACTTCCCTTTTAGGAAATGGGAATGGGAACGGGAAACTACAGAGCTTCTCTAGTGACCCCCAACTTCAACTTCTCCCTGAAACAAAGGACCATCTTTTAAAAACCAATATTCTACCAGGGTTCTCGCACTGTGGTTGAGTCACTCAACACTACAGACAAGAATCCAAATTGATTATTGCTCAGGGCAATAGGGAGACAGGTGGGTGTGAGCAGGCTGCCTCACAAACCAAATGAGGAACCGTGAATGAAAAGTGTCATCAGAGTAATGCATGATCAACAAAGAAAACAGCCTGGTCCTAAGGCCAGAGCCAGGGATAACTGATAAGCAGCCAGGCTCCTTAAGGCTCCTAGGAATATTAGGAGTGAGAGAGGAAGGCCCTGAGGTCATCGAGTGTCTCCCCACCCCCTGAATCCTTCCCACTACCTTGTGGGAGAATGTAGGTGAGAAGCACATTGTGGGAAGGTGTGGAAGGGCTGCCATTGCATTACAAGAAGGAGCACAAGGATGTTGATGCAAAAGGAGGATGAACCTCAAGGATGATGTTGCAAACTCATTTGAATATTTGAGTCTGAAGTTTGAACGAAATCAGGTCTTCCAACAGAGGAGCAAAAGGCTTTCATTAATCACCCATTATTCAATTTCATTCCATTCCATTCAGTCCAAATTCCAAAGACACGGCAGTCCCAGCACCCAAGGAGCTTACATCAGGCTGCTCCTTCAATCAAGAAATGTGTGATTCAAGGGTAATCACAGTTACACAGTGAGTCAAAGGCAGGGAAGCGACGGGAACCAAAGTCTCTAGGCTCCCAGTACAGAAGCCGATCTTGACTCTGGGGGGAAGGGGCTGCCCAGCTCTCCTTTCCATGTGGGGCATGTTATAGTTGAAAAAGCCACAGATCTGGAGTCAGAGGAACGAGGCAGGGTGGGACAGTGGAAAGAGCATTTTTGGGCTCAGGAGTAAGAGGATCTGGGTTCAGGTTCTGCTTCTGATGTTACTATCTGTATGATCTTGAACAAGTCATTTCAACCCCCTTGGGCTTCAGTTTCCTCATTTGTAAAATGTGAGGTGGGAGGAATTTTTTTGCTTGTCATTCCATATTTGTCACAAGGGTTCAGTTTTTGTTTTTCTGTTTTTCCAATGGTGTGGGATGATGAAGAGGTGGGGGAAAATACATGCCTACTAATTGAAAAATCAAATAAAATGAGAAAGCTGAATTAGATTGCCTCTACCATCCCTTCATGCTCTAGATCTGTGATGTTATGGCCTGAGTTTAAGTCACAGCTTGGAAACTTAATGCCTGTGTGACTTTGGACCGACCAGTCACCTAACTGCTCTGGGCCTTAGGACCCAACCCTCTGATGACTGACTCTCAATCTGTGACCTGAAGACTCACTCCCTGGCAGTCAGTGCAGGGTGGAATGGAGATGGATGGTAGTGAATTCCCAGAAGAGGGGCAAGTATGGTACAATAGGATAAACTGTGACTTGGAGTCACAAGGCCTAGGGGTTCCCAAAGAAAATATACATCTAATACTTTAACAAAGTAGACAGGAGGTATGGCCTCACAAAGGCTGAAGATCCTTTTTCCCAGGGAGGAGGGGTAACTCTGACCTCTCCTTAGGAGGATGGACTGCAGCCCCAGAGGTTCAAAAAATGCACTTTCCTCCCAGGCTTTCTTCCTTCCAATGATGGGATTTTCTGGATCCAATTCAAATACCATTTAATTACTTCTAGCAAATGGCAGCTCTAATGATCGGAGGAAATCGAATCAGGGTCCCTGAGGATGGCCTGCTCGGGTGGGGTTGGGGGATTCACATAGCCTTTCTGACTCTGGTTATGAGCTGCTGAGTTTACTTTGACCACCCCCAAGAGGCCCACCTGTTCAAGAAGAAGAAGATAAAATACAAAGGAATCGGGCTATTTGAGGCTTTGAAAGTCAGGGCCAGCTATGCTCAGCAACTGCTTAGACAGCTTTGGGGCCCTCTATGATCTCCAGGGTACCCTTTTCACACTGCTCACCCCACTCCCAGCCAGGAACAGAATTCACGTGTCTTTGACTTGCACCCGCCCCATTCTGGTGAGAGCCAAACAACACAGAATTAATTCTTTATTGCCTAGATCAGGCAATGTCATTTAAAGGGAGGGGATGCCATGCCCACACTACTCTATCTCCTCCCCTCTGGTAACCTGGACTCAGACCTTGGGGTGTTGGGCTCTGATGGGTCAGTTTTTGTCTTCTCTCCCCAGGGCCCTAGATTTTGAGTGCCAACTTCCACCCCCTCACAACTCTTTCTAGCTCAATTTCACATGTAGTCTTCCTCTATTAGAAGGTAAGCTCTTTGAGGGCAGCAGGGCCAATCATGCTTGCTTGTACTGGTATCCCCAACTCTTAGCTCTTAGTTGATGCTTTATCTATCTACATAGAAATCAGAGGAAAGGAAAAGAAGGCAGTGAAGTACTGAGGTTGGAGTGCTGGCTTTTTCCCAGGTCCTCTGACTCCATTCTCACTCTGACATGTGCTACCTGAGTGAGCTTAGGCAAGTCTCTTAACTTCCCTGAGCCTCAGTTTCCCCATCTTTAAAATGAGGGCGTTGAACCAGATGGCCTCTGAGTTCTCTTCTGGTTCCAGAGCTAAGATCCCACGACAAACCTTATTCTAGACATGCTTCTTGCATTGTGACTTTGGGTAAGTCAATGAACAATGGGCCTCCATTTCCCCATCATAATAATGAGCATTTATGTACCACTTTAACATTTGCAGGGGCAGCTGGGTGGTGAAGTACATAGAGTAAGGGGGCTTAGAATCAGGAAGACTCATGTTCATGAGCTCAAATCCAGCCTCAGACACTTATCAATGTGACCCTGGGCAAGTCACTTCACTGTGTTTGCCTTGGTTTCCTTATCTGTAAAATGAACTGGAGAAGGAAATGGCAAACCACCTCAGTATGTCTGCCAAGAAAACCCCAAATGGGGTCATGAAGGGTCAAAAAATGACTGAACAACAATGATAACATCTGCAAATCCTTTGCAAGTATTATTTCACTTGATCTCACAACAACCCTGGAAAGTGGTGCTATTATTATCTCCATTTTACATATGAGAAAATTGAGGCCACGAGATGTTAAGTGACTTGCCCAGGATCACACAGTTTGTAAGTGTCTAAGGTCAGATTTGAACTCAAGACTTCCTGATTCCAAATCCAACAGTTCTAGCCACCAGAGCCAGGACTTCCTGTCTCTTCTGTCCTCTTGGGAGAGATAAATAATTCAGACCTAAGGCACTTCCCAAAACCCAAAGTTGCCACTAGTTGATCTCCAACCATGACCCTCCACCTCTCAGTGACTCAGTGAGGCTTCTCTGAAAGAGGTCAATCTCTCTTTGGAGAGTAGCTCCATGTATCTTCTCGGTTCCCTTCCTCACTTTCTAAGAATCACAGAATCTCAGAGCCAGAAGAATCCTCAGACACCATCTAGTCCAAACCACAGCTGAGCAGGCATTCATCCCTTCAACAAAACCCAATGGGGAGACCTCCAACCTCGGCTTAAAGACCAACACTTTCAAAGCTCTGACTCACTGGGCCTATCTTCCACACATAGGTTCCAGGTCTGCCCTCAGGGGCCAAGCAGAAAAAGTCTATTCCTCTTCCATATAAGATTCCTTT